AGACGGACGGACAGACGGACAGACGGACGGACAGATAAACGCAACTGAAAATATAACCTCCATGACACATTTCATGGAGGTAACTAGGAAGAAGAGGACTTTCTTCAACCGTTCGAGTCAAAATATGTCTTTTATTGTGCATTTTGCATTTAAAACCTAGAAAAATGTTTTTTTGCAAATAAAAAAAAATGGATAGGGCGAATCCGAGAAGCAACAAATTAAATTGATGTGGCCTGGTAATCGGATAATCTTGATATGATACATTTCCGGACAGCAAGCACGCGTCCGCGATAGTGATTGGTCAAAAAACATCGTCCGATGTTATTTTGTCCCAGTTCCTAGTAAATTAGTCTGTTAACAGATTGTAAATAGAACTAGAGTTCGGCGATCTCATACCTCCATGAAATATTTAGTGCTTTTGTAAATCTTATGCATGGTGATGATCACCTGTAAATGTCTTACATCCACCATCCTGCTCATTAGCAAAATTTTTATACAAATTATTCACATAGCCCCTACCTAGTAACATGCAATACACTGGTGAAATCCTGAGCATTTTGCATGGACAACGTATGATATTGTTGGTTATATGCAAGCACGGCCTCTGACATACCTTTGCCAAATCAGGTTAGCCGTCCAAACTGACTAATTATGTACATTTTTCACTGCGAATATGCAAATTATTAGGGCTCATTTGCATATATTATATCAGCTGATCATATTTCCCACCCAACGACAGGGTTATCTTAAGGTCTCGGACCGGAGTTTCCCTCCGTATTTCGAGCAATTTGACACCCTCAGCCCGACGGGCTGTCATTTCTGTACTAAACGCGGGTCGGAATTTTTCACTCTTTTGGTGGAAAGGGGTGCCGTGCCGCTTATCAATACACTTGATTGATATTTTCTGCGCCCAATTTATTTAGGGGTAAATGAGGCACATCAAAGTACATTTTGAAAAAAGGGGTAATTTTTTTCGTCATTTTTAACCATGGCTGCATGGAAAAAAACGAATTTTCCCAGGGTAACGGCTTAGTACTCGAAGAAGCTCAGAACCTAATGTTTCCAAAATTTGAATTTAATTAAAATCGATGCGATAAGTTTATCGCTATCTTCGATGGCCCGAACACACCCAGAACGCATATAGAACGTACCATCCCGGCGGTCAGGCGAAAAGGCCACATAACCATCCGCGCGGACGAATACCAGGAAGTCTTCGCTGGACCACCAACATTACGCCACCTATAAAGGCTACAACTAACAGGCTTTTCAGAAAATACAAAGATATGTACACAGATATTACGATTTCAGGGATATCGCGGCCAAAACATACCATACAAAGTCACGTTTCCGGCGATTTACTGCGCACTTACTTAGACTCTGGTCAGAATTAAACTCCGACCCGGAACCTTAAGAAATAAGGCTATTCTAGCGTTTCCTCATAAATTATGCAAATGAGGTCTTGATTTGAATAGATTATGTGTAGTGATGTTCACCTTCACTGAACTTCTAATTATGGCAAGTATCAAATTCCCAGCAGTTACCAAGATAAAATTGTACCGATTTTCCATTAATTATGCAAATTAGGTCTTCATTTACATAATCAATATCTGCCAATGATCTTGTCGCTCTCAATTACATATGACACAAGTGGTTCATAGCCCTAATATGGAACACAGTAGATTAATAGAATTTCCACATTAATTATGAAAATTAGATCCTGATTTGCATAATTGTAGTTGAAATGTGTCAAGCATCACTTAAGCTATCTACATACCAAAAATCACGACGACCCGTCAAACGGTTGTTTAGTTATCTTTTCTCGGAATTTTTCAAACAAACCATCCTGCAGTTCCAGAACAAGCCGCTAGGGAGCCAAAACTCACATGACTTCTTCCCGAAGACAAGAGCTACCTAAGATCCAAAATTCATGACCCTAACTGGTCCAGATCGCGAGACATCAAAACCGGAAATTGCGCTGCGGTACCAGGAGAAGCCACTAGGGGACCCACAATCTAATTATTTCCAGGTTCCACACCCTACCGACACACCAAGTATGAAACCAATCCATCCAGCCGTTCTTGAGTTATTTTGCTGACTAACAGACAGACGGACAAACGCAACTGAAAATATAACCCCCATGACATGTCATGGAGGTAATACTAGTAAGTGCTTTTTTCCAACCAAGGACATCAAGAACCTTGTTTCTAACGAAATGTAACTGGGTCAATCGGGATTGCGCTGTTCTGCCGCCAATGGACCTTTCCGGTCGAACACCATAAGCCGCGCCCCTTGTTCTATTTCGAACAAACAGCCGATGCTTGTGTTACGCAGAGTACGTTTATCTGTGACAGGTTTTCCACGGCATTTGCTGCATGCATCGCAGCTACATACAAGCCTGAAAAAAAACGAAATGAGAAAAAACAACTCGGGTGGTCACGAGGAAGGGCGCAACTTATAAGGGGCTTTGTGATACAAGTATACTCGAGGACGAAACTAACAAAGAAACGAAAAGGCTACTATAGCTAGACACTCTCAATGGACGGCCACTCCCCTTGCCAGCTACAGTCTTTTAGGCCGAGTTCTACTAGTACTACTGTATTTATTCAGCCTACAAAAGAGTCTGGTGGAGCAAGGATATTTTACAGAACGTCCTTGGGTGGAGACTACTCTCCAAGCGGAGCATTGGGTTTTGGGTTAGTTTTGGCGTGTTTTGGGGCTTTTTTTTTATCGGATTTCTTTTTTGCACCGGAATGTTTTAAACAACCTAACCCAAACATCAGAAACATGAAGCATAAAAACAAAAATGATGTTTCTGATGATTGTTAAAATCAAGGTTTCTTTCACAGCATGTGTTTTTATTGGCGGTAGAGCAACTAAGACGCGTGCGCATGCCCGATTGGCCCAGTTACATTTCGTTAGAACAAGGTTCTGTATAATTTCCTTGGTTAGAAAAAAACTACTTGTCCTATTTACAATTTGTTAACAGACAATTTACTAGGAACTGGGACAAAATAACATCGGACCATGTTTTGGACCAATCACTGTCGCGGACGCGTGCTTGCTGTCCGGAAATATATGACGATATACATGTACGGTAATTCCTGATTTTTTTCACTGTTCTGTTATGTTCACTGTTTTCACTGTCACTTCTGTACCGTGAACTTATCATTACAGTTAACAAATACTTCCTAAACTTTCTCTTTCCTGCACCTGTCGCCACAGTGAATATATAGTTCCGTGAACTTGTACATTTCTCTCAGACTGTGAACTTTTGCTACCGTGAACATAAAGTGAATTACAGTATCCAATTATCAAGGTCCCTATAACGTCTATTATATATATTGAAAAAAAAACGGTTATTTTCTATCAGACAAGACGGCACCACACAACAGTGGTATCTGAGAGGGAGAGAGAGTGTCCATTCAGCCCAATCCTGTAGAATGGGTAGGTAAAATAACTTGTAGATGAGTTTGACATTCCAGCCAGATATAGTGAAATAGAAACACTGAAGCAAAAATACACCAAAAAGCAGTTACTCAAACAACTGGATATGATTTTGGAAACGGTCAGACGTTTCAGCTAGTATCCACTAGCTTTCGTCAGTGACTGAAAGGCCAGAGGAGAAATGCAGGTTTATAAGCACAAACTATTGAAAGCTAGTATACTAGCTGAAACGTCTGACCGTTTCCAAAATCATATCAAGTTGCTTGAGTGACTGCTTTTTTGGCGTATCTTACTACCTAGATGTCTAACCTTCATCGATGAAGCAAAAATATCTACACCGTAACTTTAATTTGGTGGTGGAGTAAACTAAATCGTAAGACGAAGCAAATTCTGAACATACTGGATACCAGGCTACCTTTTCCGGCTTCTAAGTATTTTAACGTCCTCAGTCCTACTGAAATAGACGAATAGACCTCTTCTGACAGGCTAGATCGTTCTGCCGGCCGGCCTTTCTAATTATTGCCGTCCTGTAGGCAGGCGAACTGATTGAAACCGACCCGTAAAAAACGGCGTGCGCTATTAAACGGACCTTGGCGGGCAGGCAGTACTTCAAGCTCCGTAGAGATACCGGGAAGCCTACGGTGGTCTGGCTGTCAGGCTAATTTAATCATACAAGGCTGAGCGTCCCAAGCTTCCCTGCAATTTTACCCCACAAATGGCCGGGTTAGTGATGTTAAACGGTCTTCCTAAGTATTCCACAGAACGACCGAGTCTGCCGAATACTGCTGTTCACAGTACTAGTGCTAGTATTATAATTAAGGGTCAATGAACCGCCCCAAGGTGAATATGGTGTGATAAAGCCTTGTCAGGGGAGGGAAGGTAGGGAGAGGAATGGATCATGGATATAATAACAACCGAATAAAGCCACCAAGTGAGCGCAGCGAACAAGGTGGCTTTATGAGGTAGTTATAGCAACTGACAAGGCTTTATCACACCATATTCACCGAGAAAGGGCGGGCCATTAACGCTATTATCATATAGCTTACACAATAGCCTATCCAAACTGATGCAGTAAGTGACACAATGTACAATTTACCCGTTGCACATGCTGAATAGAACATAGTTCCATCTGGAGTCACCTGAGGTCACTGGGTAGAGTTCACGTTCTATGTCTTCTATCTGGGTCACAGGCAGGGAACAGGTGTTCTTATGGGAGTCACCCGAGGTCATTGGAACACAACTCAAGTTATTTTTGGATTTTTTAGAACTAGAGCCGTGTTCTATTGGGTCACCTGAGGTCATATGCGGGTGATTATTGGGTTGTTTAATGTATGGATTGGGATGAATAAATACCCGATTTTGACTCTATTTGTGACATTACGGCTAAGGAATGTGGAATTGAGCCTTCTGATTGGTCAACGTCACCCGGCTATATGATAATAATGCATGACTGAAACTTATAATATCGGCAAACTTTCTTTGACATCTATTTCGTTTCTCCTTTATGGTTACAGGGATCCCTTGTCTACCCAGCATCCTGACACAATAAATACAATATGGGCTCCCTGCTGACTTCCCTGTTCGTGCTGACGTTGCTGTCCGCCGCTGTCGGGACGACCGTTGACTACACCGGCCGCAACTTGACGCACGTCCCGACAGACGCCATCACGTCACGCGCTCACACCGTCCGACTGTCTCACAACAGGATTTCCCGCCTCGGCTCCGGCTTTACCTCAGCCCCGCGCATCCGCTACCTGCTCATCGACGACAACAGGGTGAACAACTTATCCCCGCAAACCTTCCAACCTCTGCGGGAACTACTCGTCCTAGATCTGGACAGGAACTGCGTCGTCTCCCTTCGCGACTTCACCTTCTCGGCCCTCGCCGCGCTCTCGGATCTCATTCTCTCCAACAACCTCATTTCCGCCGTCTCGGCGCGGGCCTTCCACGGGCTGACAAGTCTGCAGTTCCTGGAACTTTCCGGGAACCGACTGTCGGCAGTCCCCGCGCAGGCCGTCCGCCTGATCCCCAGCGAGCGGCTCTTGTTAGTTCTGCTCATGGTGAACAACATCAGCCAGATTCCCGGAGACATCGCCTCCCTCCACCCGTCCGCTTCGTTCAGGTTCCAGGGCAACCCCCTACGCTGTCCGGCTGAGAAGCTGAACTCCAGCCGCGTGGACGTGATTAACGTCGAGAACATGTCCAGCTGGCCCGCGGTGTGGGATTACGTCGTGGACACACCACTGGAAGGCGGCCGCAGATTTGTAAGGAAGAGCTTCTTCATCAAACGTCTGCACAAATACTTCGGCGTCGCTCCCAAAACCTTCTACGTCCCCCAGCACCTTAGCCTTCGTCTCCCCGAGGTTCCCGCGGGCAGGTATGTGGATTATCCAACGGCCTGGATCACCCCAACAGGGCGCCGCCCGGTTCCTGTCGGCAAAGCGCTCACGGTTGAAGACTTCCCCGCGGAAGACTCGGGGTTCGTTTTTCAAGTTTTGTTTATTATTTATTTTCAGCACATAGTATACACATAACGTAATAAAGGAAAAAGACAGTGTGCAGGAGGGGGTGGGAATACTAGTAGGCTTATACTGAGCCGCCTCCTTAAAATAATACACGATTCTATAATGATTAAAAACTAACGAAAGCAAAGATATCGTAAACCGTAGCAGTACATGTAGGTGCTTTCACAAAACAGTTTAAAATGCCGAAGAAAAATTAACGGACCGATCACCCAATATACAATGTACTAGTACTAGAAATAGTGATGCATACCTAAACCCAATTTTAGGTTCAGGTCCGGATTCAAGTCCAGAGGTTTAGGTTCAGTTCCGGACTTGTAAGTCCGGACCTAAACCCATGGCATATACAAAATTGCATGTTGGCAACCTTGCAATGTTGTCTGGGTGAAACTTTGGCCACATAACATGGAGGCCGCACGTACTTGACAATGCCCGATGGCAATGTTTTTTTTTTCGTTTTGCAGCAAAGATTTTGCAATCTATGGAAGGTTTTAGGTGGTTTGGAAAGAAAAGGGGTATGTGAAATGGTCTTTTATGGTAATAAGTCCGGACTCGGTTCCTGACTTTTAGTTTTTTTTTTACTTGAACCTAGACATTCTTACAAGTCCGGATCCAAGTCCAGTGAACCGGTATGCATCACTAACTAGAAATCAGTATGACTGAAATATTACAGATGATAAACCCTAGTTGTAATAGTTTGTTTGTTTGTTTATTTAAATGCAACAGTGCATAACAAGTGGCAACCAGGCAGCAACAAGGCTGGTAGCGGCTACCACTGACACATAAATGCATAAATACAAAGTACAGTATAACTTAAATACAATATCACTTGGTACATACAAATTCAATTCAATATTTTCAATAGCAATAAACATACAAAGTACATACAAATTCAATCAATACATAATTAAGCAATACAGTGTAATTACAATACAAATCGATAAAATGATCAAAGTTGAAATGGAACGGTTGGAGGATTTTTATTTACAATTGGTATATGCTAAATATACTGAATACCCTGTACGATGTAATATCATTCTATTGTTAAGTAATATTAATGTAATTGTTGTAAATTTTAGCATAAAATCTGTACTAGTCTAGTGTTATGTATATGCTGAGCAATACATCTTTATTTGTGTGTACACTAGTAATTCTAAAAGCTGCTTAATTCATCCTCTAGGCTGCAACAAAAAGCTTTCAATTTGCTGTGTTATCATGCATGTCTTTGCAAGGAATAAACGAGTCATATGTAACCACCAGGTTGTACACGTATGTGCGGGACGTCCCGGGCATCGCCAGGTCCGTCTGCTTCGACCTGCTGATTTGCCTTCGCCGGCCGGCCGAGGACGAGCAGGAACCTGAGAAAATAACAACGTCCTCAGCCGATGACTTTTCACCACAAGACCGTAAAAACAGCAGAAACGACATCTGTGCGGGTTCTCAGGCGAACCAGTCCTGCAGTTGTTTCAACGGGTCAAGATCACCGTCGTTTCATCACCCGGAGTTCAAGTGTGATGCTGGCAGCACCAACTCAGACTCAGAAGCAAACCCAACCCTCTTACAACTCGTCCTCGGCATTGCTTCTGTAGTTGTCGTCATGATGCTCTTTCCCGTCGCTGTATTTCGTTGGAGAAAAGGAGGAAGGAGTAGATATAGAGAGAACGGCGGCACCACCGGGGCTGCGTTATGCGCGGGGGCGCAGGCCATGGCCGTCTGTATCCCTCTTCATCCCCTGCCCGGGCTGACAGAACTTTCAACGGAAGGAGGACCGAGCGCATCTCCACTCACTCATCTGAGGAGAGGAACGGGATTATGGGCGGCGATGAAAATGGGAGCCATGCAATATAGTTTCCACCGCGCGGCAGGAGCGCCCCCAGCGGACACGATCGGTACTACAGAAGCTCAGGTTCATCACTACGAGAACGCTGACGCTGACGAATACGCCTCAGCAGCACCGCCCCCTCTGCCGGGTGATGGGGAAACTGCAGCTGACGCTGTAAATACAAGCGTGCCGGATGGATTATCTGAACAACCTGCTTTTCAGATCGGGGAAGGTCTGGAAATGCCTTACGGTGTAGCCGCGGCAAATACACTGTATAGGCAGCGAGGAGGGACGGCACCGAATCCTAGTACTAGTGTTCTCACAAATGAGCACACAAGTAGCGCTGATGTGGCTGACTCGGCAACTTACAGTGCGGCAGGCGACAACCCGGTTGAAGCACAAACCGTCACCACTGATTTGTACCTGCAGCAAACTGCGCACATACTCAGTGGCAGCAGAGGCAAACACACCACTGTACCGACGAGATACGGCACCGAATCGTAGATCTCTCACAAGCACTGAGCACACTCATAGTGGCACCGAGGCAACTTACGGTGCGACAGGCGACAACCCGGTTGAAGCACAAACCGTCACCACTGAAATTTGTACCGGCAGCAAACTGCGCACACTGAGCACATAGGTGCAGAGGCAAACACACCACTGTACCGACGAGAGGCAACTGCCGAATCGTAGATCTCTCACAAGCACTGAGCACACCTATAGTGGCACCGAGGCAACTTACGGTGCGACAGACGACAACCGAGAAGGACCCGTCACCGCTGGCCTGTACCGACAGCAAATTGACTAACCTCCAAGCCGAGCTTTCAATGGCTGCAAGACCATGCCCGTAGCCAGTGTGGGTTCGGGCCTTCGGGGGGTTCGCCCCCCCCCCACAAACAAACACTCATAAGTCCACTTTTTATCTAAAGGTCCAAGATTTTTCTTTAAAAGGTGGACTGATTTGTATCACCAGCGGGACTAGAATCCCACTTGTCTCCGATTTTCCCTTTGAAATCCTCTCATCAAAAACGCAGGCAATGTCATTTCAGAAGGTTCAATTTTCAACATTTTCCGTGTGTTTAGCTTATAATATAGCTTAAACTTTAAGCTTTTAGTATCAAATTAGCCGACCAGTATCCAATACGCTATACGTTTGGTTAGCTCAAGGAGGTTAAATACAAGCTAGCTTAAAAGACAAATCCCTATTGAAGATCATTAAAAAATGCCTAAAAACACGTCGGAGTCTAAACCTCTGCTTGGAGTGTACAAACTGACCACAACTTGTTGTCCTACGCCCGCACAACTATGCGGCAACTGTCCACTAACTGCGATGTGCTTCAATACAAAAATTCCCCACCGTAGAACTGTTGCAGAATGGAACTTGTTACCAAAAGTACATGCCTCTGGTTCCAAGATGCAGCTTAAAAACACAATGTAGATGGACTAAAGATGTTTATATGAATGCTTTATGTGAAAAAATATGGAGTTATGATGAAAGTTTTGTCAAAAAAATGTGGTTACACTAGAGCTAATGATATGTCCGCCATCTTAGATTTTGACCAATGACGTCATCAAATTAGCCTAAATTATGAATATTTAATGATAGATATTACATATAACTATGTAAGATGTTATTAATGTTAGAATGGAAGTGGTATTAAACACAAAAACCTGAAAATTGTAATGTTTAAACCAAAATTACTGATTTTTCCAAAAACTGCCTGGCAGAAATCCGTTGCCATGGCAACACGAAAATTCAGTAACTTGTCTAATTGATATGAAATTGTTGCCAAGTATATTTTAGGAAACGTCACCAAATTGTATGGTTCTATGGCGCTACAGGAGAAGAAAGTTGGCGCGGGCCTCAAAAGCCCCCCGGTAAGGGTTAAAAAAACACCCAAATCTTTAGAACAGTCAAGATGTAGTCACGGGAACGTTGTTTTAATAAAAAAGAGTGAACTTAGGAGTTGGTGTGCGTGTCATCAAGTCAATAATTAACAAACATCCGAATATGATGTTTATCATAAACTATTTGAAATGTAGATATTTCTCCATCGATTGTGTAGTTTCATATGTGGTCTTTTTGGAATTGTTCTAGAATAACGCCAGAAGAGTTCACCTCATTTGACCTATCCCCAAGGCGCTAAGCGACAGCAAAAACAAACCTACCTGTACATAACACGTCTGTCTCTCGCTGCACACACAAGCTTTCAACTTCTACAGCATGGCTTCTTCTCGTGGGAAAAATGTCAACTTCGTGCACAACGATGAGATATGGTAAGGAAAATGGACATGCCAAGGCCTAGTTAACAAGTGAACACGGCTTACACAGGTAACAGGAGCGGGGACTTCAAGGTTGCCGGGTGAAAGTGTAGTGACCGCGCGCAATATTTTCAAAATCACCATCTACTAGTATATCCATGGTTTAAAAATCGCAATACCAATCGTTGGAACAATAGGATTGACTGCAGACTTTACTCCTGCAGCCAATACTTGGAGCTCTGTTTAGGTTTAATACTACCATAAGAAAATGTTACAGGTAACTCAGGCTGTCTGTAGCGATGGCCACCAAGTCAACACTAGTCTATGTAATGCGATGTGGAGACAGGATCGGTGTTACGTTGGTTGGTTGCTTTGCGCCATCATTCAACCGTGACCTGCATATATATGTGCCAACAGGAAGAACTACGTCCGGCATGAGCTGAGCGCCCTGCTCCGGTGGCCGGACAAGTGGGGCTTCCTAAAAACGGAGTACAACAAGGTACGGGACGGCTTCTAGTAGCGCCTAACGGCCACCGCATCACAAACCACGCATGATTATTAAAGCTAATATACGGTATGACTATAATGAATTTGATCATACAGTACAGTATCCTTAAATACTGATCACGTAAATCACGGGTCACATACGTCACACTATGCACCTACATGTGTACGATGTTTTCATAACCGTACATCATAGACATAGGTTTTAGGCCGCCATAGGTCCGATTTGCCAGCACAGATTTGGACCTTCTACGGCTGATAAACTCCCCTGGCCAATCATATCCCATTGTTAGGCCGATTTCTACTATTTCTTCAGTCTGCAAAGGAGTCTGATGGAGGCTAAGATTTTCCAAAGTGACGGCAGAAAAAAATCTACCTGTTGCTCGCAACGCACACAAAATTAATCGAGTTGCTTGAGTAACAATTTCTTCTGTATCTCATTACCTGGATGCCTTGCCTTCATCAACGCAAGTCTGTTAGCCTGGGTACCATCCTGGTTAGTTTACGTCCGCTCCCACAGTGGCGACTGGTACCCAGGCTACAAGTCTGTCACCACGTGTATGAAAATTCAACCAACCTGTGGGGTCGTGTGGCGTAACGGCAGAGTGCGCGACTCGGAACCAAGAGGTCCCGGGTTCGAGTCCTGACATGCCACCGATCTTGTGCCCTTGGGAAAGGCTCTTTACACGGCTTTCCTCACTTAGCTCAGGTGTAAATGAGTATTGTCCTGTCATGTATTTGTCCCGTGTTGGTGGCGGCATTAATATAAGTTGAAAAAACTTGAGTGTGCCGTCACCACGTCTGGTGATTACATGTTGGAATAAAAAATAAAAAAAATTCAACCACCCGTTCCCAGGTGTACGCCCGTATGGCCGGTGACCGTGTGACCAGGACGCCCACACCCGTGATGGCCAACTACACCAAACTCCCGCCCATCGCAGCTGCTGCAAAACCAGCTTCTCCACAGAGGAAGAAGTCTACCAAGCCTAAGGAAAGATTACCCAGCCTTCGCCCTCCCACTCCTACATTCCCTAAGGTGGCTAGCCTTCCTACTCTCCGCAAATAGAGGGAGCTAAAATAGCCTCCTGTGCAGGCCCCGCGGTGATACGGGTTGGGAAGAGTTTTTAACGCGTTATTTTAATATAGCCGGCCATCCTACATAGCCGCCGAGAAAAGGTTCCGTTCCGCCCATGGGAACCTTCTCTGGGCGGCTATGTAGGATGGCCGGCTATATTAAAATGACGCGTTAAAAACTCTTCCCCACCGCCGCGGGGCCTGCACAGGAAGCTATGGTAACTAGGCTACAAAGAGGCAATCTACAACTTAATCATTTTCCTCTGTCTTACAGTGATGTTCTCGTGGATGGCTGAAGAAAGTTGACAGTTTGTTACCTTGAGTTCTTTTTTTTTTTGCAAATAATTCACAATAGACACCACTTCTGTCATTTTCCTCTATTCTATGGCAACCCCTTATGCAGTTTCATGTCGTAGTCTCTACTAGACTGACTGACTAGTACAGTGGCAACTGCATGCCTCTTTGAACCTTTGTGGACATACATTATACAGTGTGTATGTAGCCTAGTATCCCAGATGCAGAACTTGTATTGTTTGTTTGAACACATTCCGTATCCGTATGTGTAGACTCTGTGACCCTTAGATAACTGTTCCATCTTTCTACTTTGAACACAGCCAACATATGTAGCCTATTTTCCAAGATGCAGAACTTGCAATATTGTTTGAATGCATTCATTGAATCAGTATCTGTGAAAACTATGTGACTATACTGTTCCATCTATTTTGAACGCAGATGACATAGGTAGCCTATTATTAGCCTCCATAGCATGCCAAAAACTGGGGGTTTTGGGGGTCTTCAGGGTCTCTCGGGACCTATTATGTGCTATTTTCTGATTGCATATAGACAACGTAGCCGGCATGATTGAATTACCCCCGTTTTTAGAACTGGGCTAATCAGAAAACAGCCGAAGACCATCAAACCCCCAGTTCTATAAGCCTGCTACGGAGGCTAGTCTATTATCCCAGATGCAGAACTTGTATTGTTTGAACACATTCCAATTATATCTCAGTAAAAACTCCGTGACTATTAGCTAACTGTTCCATCTTTCTACTTTGAACGCAGACAACATATGTAGCCTATTTCTCAAGATGCAGAACTTGTATTGTTTGAATTCATTCACTGAATCAGCATCTGTAAAAACTGTGACTATAAGTTATTATAGTATAAGCTGTTCCATCCTTCTACTTTGAACACGCACAACATACGTAGCCTATCATCCCAGATGCAGAACTTGTATTCTTTGAACAAATTCCGTATCTGACATCTGTGAAAACTCCGTGACTGTTAGCTAACTGTTCCATCTTTCTACTTTGAACGCAGACGACAGCGGGTCTGATCGGGTGGAAGTCTGCCCGGCCGGACTGCCAGCTGGAGATCTACGGGCGGTACGCACCGAACGCCCGCGGACAGAAGGGCATCATCAAGATGCTGGGATGGCCTCTACAGGGCCTGGACTGAGCAGGCACAGAACGGGAAAATGGGCCAACCTAAATATAAAGGCCACACCAATTTAATTTGTTGGTTCTCGGATTTGCCTCTTCATTTTGTTCTGATTTGCCAAAAAAAAATACTGGTTCTGAATTAACTAAAAAATGGTCAACAGTTGAGGGAAAGTCCTTCTCTCCTTAGTTGTTACAGTTTTTCCATCTGTCAATGCAGTGGTTTGATTAAAAGTTCAAAATTCATTCTCCTATTGTAGCATTTGGGGCTACAATGGATGCCTAGACCTGTTTTTATTTTTATTTTTGCACCCCGTCACTTCATAGTTTTACTGAAAAAATCCCAGAACCAACAAATTTAATTGGTGTGGCCTAAATATAATAACTGACAAAAATCTATTTATTGAGATATAATTACTTGAACTGGCTGCTTGATCTATTTCATGTCTGTTGACGTTGTGCTTTAGCTACACACAGCAATGACAACATCAGCATCAGTCGTAACAACACGCTCCTTTCATGCCGTAGTACTACCTGTAGTTGTAATGAGCAGGAACAGAGTAGGAAGAGCAAAGAAACAGAAAGTTTGAGAAACAAAAGAACTGACACACACAAAAAAAACATTTGTTAAGATGTAATTACTTCAACTGGCAAATCCATCTTTATGTCTGTTGACCTTTTGCATTAGTTACACACAGCTGTGTGAAATTTGTATCAATTATGTTAACTGAGAGCAACACATTCCTTTCATGACTTACCTGGAATAACTACTACATGTAGTTGTAAGGATTTTGCCTCATTATTGCATTCTTGCATTTCTTTATGTTGACACTCTGATGACAAAGCCCACACCACAAACCCTGTTGTTATGTTACTCAGAGTTCAATGAATAATGTCCATAACAAATAAACTGCATCAATACAATTAAAGGATATGTGGTTTATGTATCTTAATCTCTTCCCAATACATTGTATCACGTTCTAAGATATCTTATGCAAAACGTACATACATGTTTGTACACGTACTTTTCTGCAAGTACATGTATCCCAATTATGAAGATTGCTTTGATAGGAGCCCTGTCATCTATTGATCAATCTAATGCCACTTCAAACTATTTTTAGTGAAGCATTTGGGTCCAATGTTGATGTCCATAGGTCTTAAGTCTCTGACACAAAGTCTCTTCACACTGCATATATAAAAGCAGTCTAAAAGGAGCATCAATGTCTATTCATCAATAGCCTCCCCATCTTCTTGTCTGTATTCCTCCTCCTCTTCCTCTTCCTCCTCACTGGAGTCTTCCGTGTCAGTGTACATCTCCACAACCGGACGGTTGGTGTTGACAAACAGGTCATCATCATTATCAGAGTCCTCATCTTCCTCTGAATCTGCAGGTGTACCTTTGTTGTTGTTTGAGGCAAGAGGGTCTGCTTTGCTTTCAGTTTGGTGACCACTGTGTGAAGAAAAGAAAAGATTACATTTTTAAGCAATTGGTCATTGATTATCCTGATGAAGGTGACAGTGGTCATTAAAAGTTTGATAAAAATGTAATCCTTGTGTTGGAATAAAGTTCAACATTTTACTACAATACAATTTACCTCTTAGCCAGATAACGTTGACGTAAGAGTGACTGAAAATTCCGGGTGAGCTACTTTTCCTCGTGTGGAAAAAAGTATCAAACTTCATCATTACCCCTAGTATTGATGAACTGGTTATCATGGCATAAGTAAGGGAGCTTATGCTCACTGGCATTTTGCTTTTGTAGTGTTGAACAGTTGAACTGCTTTTCAGTTGTATAGCAAGCTGTAGGATGTACTAAAGACATATCAAAAGTTTATCATTGACAAAGACTCACAAATTGGCAAAAGAAATGCAAACCTACTTTTGATCCTGTTGCTTGTCTGTCAGCCCTAAGACTTCAAAAGCTTGAGGCCTGTAAGGGAATGATAACAGCATGTTAGACATGAGATAAAGAGTGACAATCAACAAAGGAAAGTGATCTCAATCAAGATTTGGTTCACTGAAGAGCTAATCTCCCACTGGTCATGACAGATGCTATGTACAGTATTTAAAAGTTCATTGTACCTGGGAAATTTCCTTAGCTCTTTTCGCGAAGCACAATGAACAGTGGACCACGGTTTAAAGTAACATACCAACCTAGGGACTGTGACCCTTTCCAGTAGCGGGCATGTCAGTTGAGTGATTTGAACTCCCAACCTCTTGGTCCAGAGGCAGGGTCACTAACGTAAACCACTGGACTACGCACACACTACATGTATATAATCTGACAAAAAGGCACGACACAAGTACTCAACAGAATTGACACATTTATGACCAGATCTTTGAACACAGCAGACCAAACTGTACTCACCATGCTCCCTCCTCTATGATGTACTTGATCTGGTCACGGTACAGAACAAACTGGATCTCAGCCCGAACCTTGTCACCTTCTTCAATGGGCTCAACTATGACATGGTCTCCTGTAAGAAAAGAAGGGGCAATGTCGATGAAGGTTGGACATCCAGGTGATACGATATGCCAAAAAGCAGTTACTCAAGCAACTGGATATGATTTTGGAAGAGCAATGATTCAACGGAAAGGTGAAACTGTGTGAGTTTTTTGTTGTTATGCCATTCTGTATCGTATGTGATTTTGTACTATTGTATAGTCTGTTACGACGACTTGTTACACTCAATCTTTGCACATTTAATCGCATGACTTGTTAAAAGCTTTCAAGTGATGATGCCCCAACTGTGGTACTGTAGCTTACCCTATTACAATGACAATACTAGTAAATAATGAGTAGATGTGAGTATTTGTTGCCATTAGTGTGAACAATGTACATGATACATCAGGGCCCATCACCCTTCCCTCAACCACGATGGGGGCTAACATCGTCTACCAGATACCTTTGACCTAGTGTTGACGTCACACTTCAGAGAAGCCATGTGACATGCCTCACTGGGTCAGTCTACTGAGGAAGACCAGAGTGACTGGTTGAAAGCTCTAGGTGAGAGAACTTCTTTGCGTTGGTTTGAAAGTTTTAACTTTAAAGAATGTACATAATAGTGAACCGTAGCAACTGTGTGCTTGTTCTCACCTCTTTTGATCCAGATGTTCTTCCTGAACTTGGTGGGCATGCTTGCCAAGAAGTGGTCACCATTGACTGTCTCCACCTCATGTAGGTTACCCCCTCTACTGGCCACTACCTGCAGAGGATTACACGCGGTTCATAATTTAGTGCACAACATGAGAAAAGAGAATTCAAGAATATGCTATGCACTTAAATACCGGTTGATAAATACTCGCACAGACACCTACATATTCTCTTTTCTTCCCCCTTACTATGCCACAGTGGAACTCCTTACCCGGCCTGGTAGTTATGGCTCCCAATGTTGAGTCGTTCCGGGCCGGGCTGGAGGCCTGCCCGCCTTAGTCTGGACCTCCTCTCCCCCCCTAACGGCTCCCCTCGTGGGGTTACTTGGGGGTACTGAAGATGACGATGATTTCTTAGGAGCTCAATGTTACAGCAGCAGCGAGCTATATTACACCGAATGGCCTGTTAGTGTTACACCTTACCTTTACACATTGAACTGTAAGCATTGTTTGAAGCTATCTCTATTGATAATGTACTTCGCGGCAGCGAGTTCCACTCTACGAAAGTTCTGTTAGTGTTACTTCTAGGGAAAAAATGAGTTTTTAAATATCTGAACCCCTGGTTGATAACTCTAACACATTGTGAATGTGCTGTAAACATGATATTGTGAAAACATGTCTAAATTTGCAATAAAAAGTTTTAAAAAAGAGTTACCCTGACAATTTGTTGATCCCCCTCTGGCAAAACGAACTCCTCCAAGACCTCCCTGGCAACGTGCTTCTTCTTTGTTGTCTTGGACATCTTGTTCGTGTAGATTACTCCAAGGAGCTTTCCTTTGATTGCTCAGAACTGATGCAATTCACAGTTTGTCAACAACAGAAAAACTTTTGGAAGCCCTGAGACGAGGAGCCAGTCAATTTCCTATAAAGAAACTGCCAGCCAGATATATCAAGAAAATCTGCTATTAAGTCTTGTCATAAAAAAATAGAGTTACTGAATTCTTCTCGTATTGCACAATAAAAATCGGTAGCCGTGCTGATATAACGGTGGAAAATGTTCCGACGTCAGCAAAAATTTTGAAGTTCTCTGCACTACTGCAGTTCAGCGCATGTCGCAGTATGTCCACGGGTTGCGCAGTACTGCACTTCACACGACTTCTCTGGTCGTTTCGTGCCTGGCAAAAGACCGCGACAGCGCGAAGGTCCGTCACTGAGCCATAATTGGAAGAGGGTCCCGCGCTCACCCGGTGGAAGACAGCTGGGAGAAAGAGGAGAAAACGGCGAAGCAGACGGCAGAGAGGCAAAATTTCGACATACCCGGCGCCATGACAGTTCTCAATGCATCATGGGTAAGTCACTTTCGAAGCGACCGCAACCTTGCGCCAAAATTCAACTTAACAGCCATTCAAAGTATGATAACACACATAAGATTCAATAATATAGTCTTTAAAATGAAGTAGTTTAGCTTAAACTGTTTTAAAACTGTTTTTGAGGTCGATCATGACGCCTTTTGTACAGTCACGTGACTAGTTTCATTTTCCGCCCGCCAACTGCCGAGGGAGGGATTTGTCGAAACTTGCCTGAACACTTTCCTAAAACTCGTCTTTCTTCTGACTCTTGTCGTCCGTGTCTGGTAAGTATTGGGTGGCATGTTCGTTGGTTAGACTTAAGAGTATGTTGTATACTTCGGGATGGGTTCGCAATGTTTGCTATAATGGAGAAAATTCAAAATTTGTTTACGGCAAGCTACAACTTACAAGCATGCGTGAGTTCTTTGAGCTGTTCAAACTCCAAGCAGATGTTTTGGTGGCCGGAAAAGACAGTATCAAATTGGCCAGGCAGTATCCAGCAGCAAATGTTGGGTGGCGAATGGATATACTAGTAGTTTGGCTGCTGGATACTGCCTGGTCAATTTTGATACTGTCTTTTGCGGCCATCGAAACGTCTGGTTGGAGATTAGTTCAAACTGGGTAGCTGATGAGCTCATGCCAGCAGGTGACCTGTATAAAAGTGTAAGAAGTGTCTTGTGTCAGGTCATCTACTTACTTGCGGGTCAGTGAGGTTTTTGACAAGGCGTGGCAGGAATTTGAGAAACTGTGAGCTGAGACAGACCTGCACAGGCCTGTAAACAACTTGCCTATGTCAGTATGTGACCAAGGTTAACAACATCAAGCGAAAGGAGAAGAGAAGAACTGGACTGAAACTAGATTGAAATGCCATCAGCCATCTTCGCATCATGACTCACTTCTGCTTTTGGAGTCTGGAGCTCTGCCAGTGTATATTGTGATGACAGAACAAGCCTACTGTCGCAGTCGCATGGAGAGGGATAGAAATCTGGGATAGAAAATCCTTGCTTCAACGAAGTTCAAGAACTTGACAAGAAGAAATAGATATCATACTAGACGGTATCAGTTGTAACTTGTATGCCAAAAGGAACAGAAACACTCCCCACCCTGCCCCGTACAAGACATTCATTGTGTTATTGAAGAATAAACAATTTTATTCCAGAGTAATTGTGATGTACACAGGACCTTCATAAATTTCTAACCATGCCATAGGTAGTTGGCTGCAAATGGCAGGTGGTTTCCTTGGTTTCATCACTCACTCACTCACTGTCCTAATCAGTTTTTTCCTCACAGTGTTATTGTATAAAAGTAATTTGATTGAAAACAAAATTTGATTAAAAGTAAGGTGCAGTCTGCACTTTGCCAAACAACAAAATTCTTTTCCTCAAGAATCCTAATTATAAAGCTAGCTACATCATAGTACATGGGAGTAACTTAGGAAACCACCTACTAGCACTAATAGCACCCCTCCTTTTATTACAGGGTCCTAGTGTGGTTGGTTATAGACCCACCATGAGTCGCCCCCCTCCCGACCCTGTGTTTGTGTTACGCGGCTCCGACGTTGCAGTCAGCTGCCTCAAGTTCCGCTGCCGGGAGGCAGATTCCACAAAACTCTTGTTCTCTGGCACGGCCGGGGGGAAAATCCACCCGTGGGACCTGCAGACCAAACGGAGCCTGGGTGTTCTCGATGGACACGGGGGCCAGGGTGTACTGTCGTTAGGTCTTTGTGGTGAAGACAACGCAGTGCTGTACAGTCAGGGCCGAGATGGCACAGTGGCGCTATGGGACCTGCAGGAAGGAAGGAACAATGTTTCCCACAGGATTCCCGTGCCTGCTGTTGGCTTCTGTCAGGTGGAAATGTTTAGTCATGGTACCGGTAGGCTTTTGGCTGCAGCGGGAGCGAGCCAAGCCGAGGTAGCAGTGATGGATCTTCGGAGCAAGAAGCCGGTTTTCTCCCTACAGCCTGCAGAAGGGTGTTCTCCACAGGGGATGGTTATGGCACTAAAGGCGGCGTCTGGCAGTGACTGCTCGCCCCTTTTGGCAGCGTATGAGGACGGGAGCGTTGCAGTGTGGGACGTAAAGCAAAGGCAGATTGTCAGCCACCTACGAGCGCACACAGAGCCCATCCTCTGCATGGATTACGATCAGGAACAAGGCAAGGGAATAACAGGGTCAGCCGACAACAAACTTATCGTATGGACAAACAAGGACGGGCAGCTAGCGACGAAGCAGACTGTTGAACTCAGCAACCCTGGCCTGTCCTGTGTGAAAATAAGGGGCGACCGCAAACTAGTGGTAACGGGTGGCTGGGATCATTTGATACGCCTGTATGGATGGAAGAAGATGAAACCTCTGGCTGTACTGGACTACCATACGGACACTGTTCAATGTGTGGACTTCTCTGATCATGAGAACTCTGTGGATAGGTTGCTAGCTGCAGGATCGAAAGACCAGAGGATCAGTCTGTGGTCTATATATAATCAATGATAATGGTTAACTTGTCATTGTGTTATTTATATCAGTAAGTTCAATCAAACTATGTTCTTGATAATCAACTTGAGTATATTTCAATTTTGAAATCCGCATGCATAATGTGAATTGTGATGATAAATTCAACAGAATGTAATTCTGAGTTGCATAATTGTCCTTTCAGAAACTGAAACCTGTCACTGACAGATGGGCAATTTTGATCTACCAGGGGTACTGTATATAGTGCAGGAGGTTTGAATAAAGAGATATGGAAGCCCAGAATGTCCTATTGTCTTGCAGCATGTGTAACTGAATGTTGTATGATTGGAAGCAGCAGATGATAAGTCAGATAGTGAATGAGTGTGACTCGTGAGTGATGTTGCACTGTGGCTGTAAAATGCTATGGGTAACATTGGCCACACCAATTTAATTTCTTGGTTGACGGATTCGCCTGCTTCATTTTTTTCTGATTTGCCAAAAAAAAGAAGAATCAGAATCAATTGCAAAATGCTCATATTTTGCCATTTTGCCCTGAACAGTTGAAAACAGTCCTTTTCTTCCTAGTTGTTACAGTTATTCCATTTTTCAATGCAGTGGTATCATTAAAAGTTCAAAATTCATTGTTTAAATTTTGAACCAGCCTGGTGTGTTGACCTAATGGCTCCTATTGTACCATTTTGGGCCATAATAGGATGCCTAGGCCTGTTTTTATTTTTTTTCGCCCACTCCATTATTTTTCTAGAAAAATCCGTTAACCAAGAAATTAAATTGGTGTGGCCTTAATAAACAAATTAGTAAACTATGCTTTGGAATACATACAGTTCAATTCAAATAAGGTAAATCTTTACTTTTGACAATAATTTCTTTTCATCACTTCATTTCTTTGAGTACCTTAATGCTGTAGTGTGAGTTTTTAGTTTCATAGTAAAGTGTTGAATGCCGGTCATTTAGTGTCCGGATGAAGGCGACTGGTCGTTGAAAATTTGATCTCTCTGTCCTCGTGTTGGAATAAAGTTACATTTTATTGTGATTACTACTAAAACAGATAAACCTTCATGATAATTTGAAACAATTTGATGAATATTGTGTTGATATGACTGATCTAACTCTGCACTGATGTTCCAGTTCCAGCAGTCATCATGTCGTCTACATCCCAGAAGCACAGGGACTTTGTTGGGGAGCCGATGGGAGACAAGCCAGTCACAGCCCTGGCCGGCATCGGAGGCACACTGGGGGGAAGGCTGGAGGAGGAGGGTTTCGACAAGGTATAAAATTTGTATATGACATTTGTAACATACAATATACTAGGAAGAAAATCAGCCCCTTTTCAGTAGTTACTACTTGCTGTTTTGAAAAGAAGAAAGTAACAGTGAAGTCTTTTTTTGTTATCTTCCACCATCTGCACTCTTTTGCAATTGTATGCACTAGTACAGTATAAGTAAAGTTTGCATCTATGACAGCACTTCTTTTAACAACAGACCTAGAGAACTATTGTAGAGTGGAACTTGCTGCCACGAACAACGAAGTATGTATACAAAGGGATAGCTTTTAACATAGCTTACAGCCAAGGTGTAACAAGTCACTTGGTGTGATACAGACAGCTGCTGCTGTCCTATGTACTCATGAAGCTGGTGTGTTATGACTAAATGATATACATATATAAAGAATACAGATGATTCCACTTTTTCCCCAGGCATATGTAGTACTGGGCCAGTTCCTGGTTCTGAAGAAGAATGAGGAGTTTTTCAAGGACTGGCTGAAGTCGACGTGCAATGCCAACAGTAAACAGAGCGGAGACTGCTACACCTGCCTCAAGGAGTGGTGCGACAACTTCTTGTGATGGGAAACATCTCGCATAGTGCTGTGTACCGGTTCACTGGACATGTAAAAATGTTTAGGTTCAAGTAAAAAAAAATAAAATAAAAGGCAAGGACCGATTCCGGACTTATTACAAGAAAAACCCATATCACATACCCCTTTTCTTTCCAAACCACCTAAAACCTTCCATAGATTGCAAAATCTGTGCTGCAGAAAACATTGCCATCGGGCATTGTCAAGTGTCAGCCTCCATGTTACAGGGCCTAAGGTTTACCCAGACAACATCGCAAGGTTGCCAACATGCAATTTTTTGTATGCCAGACTTACAAGTCCGGAACTGAACCTAAACCTCTGGACTTGAATCCGGACTTGAACCTAAATGTGGGTTTAGGTACACAGCACTGCTCAGCAGTGTGTTAGTAATACTGATAGCACGATATACATACTCAATAGGGTGCCTTTCATGTTGACGTTATGGAACATGTATCTTATCATTCATAACTAGAGGTTTCAGGCTGTGACCGAAATACTGCGATTTATTCATGGCATTTGCCAATATTGTAAGTGTTCATTTTAAGCACTTCTTTAGTTAGCGAACATGTAAGTGAAAATTCAGTCCCAGGGACAAGTCAGCTATATTGAGTTCTTGCCTCTGTTAAAACCAACTTGTCTCCTCAAAATTGTACATTAAAATAGGTGGCTATGTACTATGAACTTCAGTACTGTTCGTTCCGTGCATTTCTGATAGATTTACGCCTTTTAAAAGAAATTGTTGACATTTCTCACTGACATTGAACTTCCTCAGACATTTCACTGTCAAGGTCAGACCCTTAGAATGTCTATGTTACTGTTTTAAAGATGTGGTATGATGAGCAGCAAAGATGTATTGAATATTGTAGGTGAAAAAGCTTGATCTATACTATCTATTTTGCACATGATGTATCAATGCATTAAAGGTTCAATTTCTTCCCAGTTGTCCATTTGTGTATCATTTGAAAGGGTTGTTCTGAGAAAACAAGACAGCTATTTCTCAACCCTTCTGTTTTTACTGTGTGTCTCATCTGTCTCTTAGTTTAATTGTTCAACTGTTGGGGTTTCACAGATGATCTGACAACCAGGTTTCTTCACCCTTATCATCAGTTTTCCTCTGAGCTTTTCATTTAGTGTCTGTCATGTCTGTGACACATGGAGATTCCTCGTCAGTTTCTGTTTCTTAACTGTGGCTAGGAGATCTTTGTACAACTACAACATCATATACAGTTTTGTGTATTTATTTACGAAGATTTACAGGTGACTATCACCTTTTCAAAGATGTCAAACCTGAAACTAGACTGTAAAGTTTGAACCACTCACGCCGGGAAGGTCCACTACTCTTTTCGATAAGTGTGTTGGGTGTGGCTCTCCCAAACACGGGACCTCCATTTTACGTCCTATCCGGGGGACGTCCCTTACCAAAGCTAGGTACTCTTTTTCACCTGAGGAAAGTCGTATAAAGTGCCTTTCCCAAGGGCACAAGATCGGTGGAATCGGGCAGGATTCGAACCCTCGACTTCATGAATGTGAGCCGAATACGCTTCGGCTTCACCACACGACTTATATGATGGCCTGGCAAACAAAATGTTGCATCAGATGAAACCATTTAAAAGATAATTTATTAAGTACAATCCATGTCTCGAGACTGGTGTAGTCTGTAGACAACCATCCAAATACATAAAATTGCTGAATTTTTATTTTAAGTACAGGGTTTGTGCTTCAGCAGACAATTTCCATGGAAGTAAAAGAAGCTAACTGGATATAATTTACCCACAAGTTCATCAATTGCAGTGCATGTAATGCAGTAATGAAATAACGAAAAGTCAAAATTCACACCTCAATATTAGGGACTCTTTGCTATGTAGTAAATTCAAATTCTGATGTTCTTTTATGTTGAATGAGGCTCACAACTAATAACTATAGTTTCCTAAAACTCTCCTATTATACTTATGAAATTAATTTCATCATTTGGAAGAACATAGGGATTTTCATACATAAAACCAGTAATTATCTACATAAAGCGGCGAGAAGCAGTGCTCCAGTCAGAAGCTCTGAGGAAGGTGTCTGATAGACAAAGATGTGAGCAAGGTGAGAATACATTACTGGTTCTGCATAATTTAAAAGAAAACCCCTATATCCTCTCTTATCATAGTGCTATGGTAATCTCAAGGCAGACTTAGGCACCAACATAAAGATGTACATGTATAAGAACTAGGCAAAGAAGATGGACATTCCTATAATGTATACAAATACAATGTCCTTTTACAATACTGTAAACATAATTACCCTCAATAGACATGATAACAAATTAAACAATATACACCTATAGCTATCTGCTGTATGCAGAAGAGTCCCATATAATATTTAGATAAAAGACAACATTCTTGCATTCGTCTGCCGATAATTCATTGCACCAGCTTTAATAAATAGAAAAATTCCTATGCTTCCAAATTTCACCACAGATTGCAAGGACAGAATTAATTATTCACAAAGGTGCTATATTGCCTTTCAATGCATGATGATCAGATTGCATCTGGCCTTATTCCACAGTACATGCAAGCATGTAGCCGTAATGGCATTTACACTGATTCTTGTCAATCACTTAGCCTCTACCGGGCTTCAAAAGCAACTGGAAAGAGTAGAAATTGGCCAAATAGGCGGATAACATGCCAGGGGAGTTGGCCTGCTAAAGAAGTACACTTTGTTGCTCTGTACTCCTTTAGCGGTCCAACTCCCCTGGCAAGTTATCTTGTCTAGTTGGCCAATTTCTACTCTTTTTAAGCACCTCTGAAGCCTGGTAGAGGCTGCTGCTCCAGAAAAAGTGGCTGTTTGCCCCAACTGCACCTATGAGATGTCTAGCTTGCTTATAACAAGATCATTATAGTGCCTGTCTAGGCACTTCCACTTATATCACTGTTTAATTATTGTACTGTAATTGTGCAATAATAATAATATCTTGTTACAAGATATACATGTATGTAACAGTAGAGAGGACTGCATTTGGCATTTTTCACCACAATTTCTAGAAAGAGTTGCAGCTGAATGCTAAGATTCCTTTTTTTTTTACAAAGTCTATGGTCCTTAAATACATTTTCCTCATCTAGACTTGATTCGTACATTATTCTAGGAGGTAAGAAAAATACTTGTTGTGCTACAAAAATGCATCGTGCTATCTTGAGTTGAGAATGTTTGCACCAGGGTCATTCTACAACCTGAGGGAACAATCAAGATTTTCCTGATGTGGATAACCTGGTATCCAGTCTATCGTGGTTGGGGCATAGTAGTTGGGGCAGGCTGTGTCTTCAAGTGCTCATGACACCAAAAAAATGACCTTAGCTGATTGTAATTGACATAACTAGTATTACCTGGCTAACAGACACATTTACAATAAATATGCACGGTTCTCTTGTTACATTCAAAATTCTAACGCCCTACCTTGGAAAAGTCAGCACAAGCTAGTAATGGCAGGTGATTTGCATTTGATCCCTACATTTTATTTTTGCATGTCTGTATTTTTTCCTGAGCTGACGTCATCCAGTGATGTCAGCTCAGGAAAAAGCACAGAAATGCAAAAATAAAACATAGAGATGCAAATAGAGATGCCTGAAGTGGGCAATTGGGAAGCTTGCTAGAGAGTCTCCAAAAACCCACTTTTAGAAGGCCGTACAAGCTCAGTTTCTCAGTCATCATGATTGGAACAAACTTCAAGTGACTATATTGTATGTACACTTCCGATATTTGTATGTATTTCACAGACTTTTTTTTTGTGTCATGAGTACTTTCAGGGCTCTAATACATGTAGTTTCCCCCCGCCCAGTAAAACAGGCCGCCCCGGTATACTCTGGGAGTAGGCCTAATCAAACTCCTACCGTAAAAAACCTACTGAGGGAACCTAGCTCGGGTGAGCAGGGTAGAGCTCCTGCAGCCCCGAAGAAAACCCGCCCAACCACGAAAGACTGGATACCGGGTTAGATACGGAGGGCGCTACATGCCTCCCTAACTTTGGTCTCGTGTAGATCATCACTAATAATTTGTAGGTTGGATACTTCTTAATGTTTGCTTATCAGACACTACAGACAAGTTTAACTGCTACTGAAAATGTAACATCTTGAGTGATAGAAGCAGATGCATTAAAGATGAATGCTACAGGTAGAGATTCCATCATTCCTATTCAAACTCTACTCAATATAATTCTATCTACATGTAGCTTCCATCTGTATGAAAATTTGCTTTAAATCAGTACCATGGAAAAAGCATAAGATCACAACCAGGGAGGGTTACGAGAGGGTTCTTTGAAAGTTGCAAAAAGGATGCATCATGGTTTAAAAGAAAAAGAATTGGCATCAGAATATTGTCATAACTAAATAAAGGACTTTTTTTTACATCCCCATCCATAACCCTTCCTGGTTAGAGTCTAATTGCTAAGACACTACTTGATAGCCATAATCTTGTGTAAGTAACACAATTGCAGAAAGCTTTTAATTCGTCAGATTAACAGACACAGGTAATCCATATTTGCTAAGCCATTTCAATAATCTTGTTCTTAAGTCATCTTTACAGAATGTGTACAATTTCAACATGAAAAACAAATAAGCAGTAATAGACAATAAATGAGCATGTCGGCAGAATGTACTGTGCCTGCGTGAAACCCTGTTTTTTCACGGTTTTCGTTGGATGTGTGGTCAACGTTGCATCAGAATTTTGCCTGTTGCAGACGATATCTTTTCCGACTTAACATTTGAAAACTACAGACGGAATATTAACCTTATATGTGCGAATACGACCTTATGTGAGACATTCTGACGAAATGCTATGCACGATACATTACATTTTTGTGCAGGTGCAGTACGTTCTGCCGACATGCTTGATTAATGGTGGTACGACTTTTAAATGGTATAAGGTGACCGTCAGGCTGTGAGTTCCTCTTCAAAAATGTCATCCAGACTCTCCAGGTTTACTCCATCTCCTGTTAACAGAAAAGTTTGTTTGTTTGTTTATTTATTTAACCAGGAAATGCATGTTGGCTATTGGCGTTTTTCAAAGATTCCTGGGGGGGTAACCCCAACAAAACTACATGACATTATAAAGCACAAAAATCATGAATCATAAAGCACGAAAAGCACAATTATCATGAAAGTTCATCTGTGTTGGTAGTAATCATACTAAAATGTTGAACTCTATTCCAACACCAAGGTCAAGGGTTACACAGAGATGAAATTTTCAACGACCGCTGTCGCCTTCATCAGGATAATTAATGAGCAATCACTTCCGAATGTACACTAGCGAAGAGTTACGGTTACAGACACATGACCTTATTCACACAGCCTTTACAACACACATTTTACAAAATCTTCCTGAAGAATACAACTTGGTAACACAAACAGTTAAGAACTGTACATTTGTACTAAAAATACCAGTAACACATACTAGCTACAATACTCAAGAGCAACTTGGCAGTAAAAGTTTAAGTCTGTGCTGTGCTTCTAGAAATTAGTCGCTGTGTTAGTTCTGCACTGTCCTCACAGATGATTCATATGCATGTCCTACACCCTGATATACATATAGAATATAGTTTTCACAGTCATCAAAATTATGTAACATATTACATATTTAGGCCACACCAATTTGATTTCTTGGTTAACGGATTTTTGAAGAAAAAAAATGGAGCGGGCAGGCGAAAAAAATAAAAATAAAAACAGGCCTAGGCATCATGGCCCAAAATGGTACGATAGGAGCCATGAAGTCAACATACCAGGCTGGTTCAAACTTTAAACAATGAATTTTGAACTTTTAATGATACCACTGCATTGAAAGATGGAATGACTGTAACAACTAGGAAGAAAAGGACTGTTTTCAACTGTTCAGGGCAAAATATGAGCATTTTGCAGTTGATTCTGAATTTTTATTTTTATTTGCAAATCAGAAAAAAATGAAGCGGGCGAATCCGTTAACCAAGGAATTAAATTGGTGTGGCCTTAGCTTAAGATGATCAGTGGAGTATCCTTACCAGGAAGAGGGTCGAGGCCTTTTCCAGCGGTGACGTTGGCCAGAATTTGGTCCAGTTCTTTCTCAAAGTCATCGGGTGAACTACTCAACTCTGTACAGACACAAGTAGATGTTTAGAACACTGCAACTAGGAAGGTGACATCTTCAAAGCAAATGCATAATGTTTGCTTTCACATGGTCCAGGTCTTTGACCTTTTTTGTTTGGAGAAGAAGAAGAAACTGAGCAAAAACAATGTTTTTCTTCTGCAAAGATAAATATAAAAACAACAGCAGCTCTAAGAAGATTTTTATAGGTTATGTTCAACACTCAAAATTTAGTACCTGAAGTGTTTGGAGAAGAAGAAACAGAGCAAAAACAATGTTTTTCTTCTGCAAAGGTATTACATAAAAACAACAGCAGCTCTAAGATGCTTTATCCAGGTTATGTTCAACACTCAAAATTTAGTACCTGAAGGTACTGGAGAATTCTTTCAGCAGTGACAAGTTTTTGAAGCCAGGGTAAGAGTACTAACCTCCAAATTTTCCATGACTATCAGTTCATCTTGCCACCACTCCATGAACAAGATGGACTGATAGTCATCAAAAATTTGGAGGTTAGTACTCTTACCCTTCAAAAACTTGTCACTGCATGAAAGAATTCTCTAGTAACTGTATCTATACGTGACAAATGCACCTCTTCAACATTAGTACCTGAAGTGTTGATGTTTGCATCTCCGACTGTTGGAATGTCCCGTGGGTTTGTCCTTGGTTCTGAAATCAGCGCTGCTTCGAAGTCCGTCAGACTCCCGTTCGGTAAGGAAACTCCTGAGAAATTGTTGTTGATGGCGTCCCCCGACGACACAGGGGCTTGGCTACTAGAGATCATCAGTTTTCCACAGTTTGCGTTGTCCAACTTATCGGGATTGCGCGCTTCTAGTTCTACACCGCCGGACAAAGCCACTTCGTCTGGGGATGTACGCATGGGTGAAGTGTCACCAGGGGTGTCAGTAGGACTTGGTACGAGTTTACCGGAATCACTAGAAGGGACTGAACAGTCATTAGGCACTTTGGTTTTGGCTTTGAGGATACTCACAGGACTAGAGTCCGTCCATGCTACGGTGACTTCCTTTGTAGCGATACTCTCGGAATCTCCCTGTTGTTGCAAACTGCTGGAAGTAGCGTTTTCTTTATGTGAGTTTGTTTCGTTTGCACCATCGCTTGCTGTATCTAGTCTCTGTTGTGGAACTACTTTATTCTCCAGCGTACTAGGCCCTACTGTCTCTGTGCCAGCCTGACTGTTTTCTCTCACGGCATCAGGGTCAACGACCTCTCCTGGGTTCAACACCTCATGTCTGCTTCTTGCTGATTGGTTGACACTTTGGTCCCCTGCTTGTCTTCTGTCTAGATCTGCTGATTGGTTGGCACTCTGGTCCCCTGCATGTTTGACTTCTGCTGATTGGTTGACACTATGGTCCCCAGCTTGTCTGCTGTCTGCTGATTGGTTGACACTCTGGATCCTTGCAGGCCCTTCCTCTTGGGCTTCCTGTGCAACCTCCACCTTTGAGAGTGAAAAGAAAAAAATGGAAGTGATCTTGATCCAGTTTTAGCTCACTGAAGAGCTACTCTTCCACTGGTCCTGACAGAGAAGACAGACACTATGTATAGTATTTACTGCTTCATTGTACAAATGTACCAGGGAAATTTCCCAAGCTGTTCTCGATAATGACAAAGAACAGTGAACCATAGCTTACTGTCTCATGCTAAGGACAGCGACCCTTTACAGTAGTGTGCATGTTGGGTAAGTGACAATAACTAAATCTCCGCCTGGCTTCTTTGTCGAAGATTTCAGAGGCCCTTCCCACTTCTGTTGCAAGCTTCTGGTGGCTGACAAGGCCAATACAACAATAAAAAAAATGAATAAATACAAACATGGTAAACAGCCTGGATTCTAACTCCCAACCTCTTGGTCCAAAGGCAGGGTCGCTAACCACTGGACACAACAAAAAATGCAAACAGTACCTCCTCCTGTTGTTCTGCCTTCCTGTCCTCCCTGGCTCTCTCCTTGTTCCTCTTACTGAAGCCCTCATTTATTCACAAACAAACAAACAAACAAACAAACAAACAGACAAACAAACAAACAAACAAACAGCCCGTACCTCCTCCTGTTGTTCTGCCTTCCTGTCCTCCCGGGCTCTCTCCTTGTTCCTCTTACTGAAGCCGTCATTCATTCATAAACAAACAAACAAACAAACAAACAAACAAACAGACAGACAGCCCGTACCTCCTCCTGTTGTTCTGCCTTCCTGTCCTCCCGGGCTCTCTCCTTGTTCCTCTTACTGAAGCCCTCATTCATTCACAAACAAACAAACAAACAGACAGACAGACAGACAGACAGACAAACAAACAAACAAACAAACAAACAAACAAACAAACCCGTACCTCCTCCTGTTGCTCTGCCTTCCTGTCCTCCCTGGCTCTCTCCTTGTTCCTCTTACTGAAGCCCTGGATGGCTGACAACAGCTGTTTCTGGGTCTCTGCATAGTCCTTCATCTACATGTAAGTACATATGGATTGATACATGTGTGATTATCTACACTAAGGCCACACCAATTTAATTTGTTGGTTCTCGGATCCGCCTCTTCGTTCTTTTCTGATTTGCCCCCAAAAAAAAAAATTTGGATTCTGGTCCTGAATCAACTGAAAAATGCTCATATTTTGCCCCCAACAGTTGAGGAAAGTACTTTTCGTCCTAGTTTTTACAGTTTTCCCATCTATCATTGCAGTGGTTTGATGAAAAGTTCAAAATTCAATGTTTAAATTTTAACCCAGCCTTTTGTGCTGACTTCATGGCTCATTCCGTAGCATTTAACTAATTTTAAGCCTATAATGGGATGCCTAGACCTGTTTTTATTTCTATTTCTTTTTGCCCTGTCGCTTCATATTTTTTCTGAAAAAATCCGAGAACCAACAAATTAAATTGGTGTGGCCTAATTTCGTGAATAATATTTCATCAGGTTGTTGAATGATTGAATAGCAAAGTTCTTTATTCACAATAGCTTCTTTAACAAGAGCTGACATTTTGATGACCGTCTGTTGTCTTCATCACAATAGCCCTAACGAAGATGACTTTTAACTGTTTTTCTTGTGTATATCACTAAGTAAACGTTTTGTACATTTTATCAGTTGCCAAGGAGGTGCATGTTGAGAAGAAGTGGTGACCCACAACAAAACGTTTTGACAACTAGGGCACATAATAGTTATTTTCAGAAACAACAAACTGTTTCCTGACCGATTCCTTCTTTGGTTCCTTGTCCAGATCCAGCCTGGTGAATCACTATATACAGAGTGTGACATCTTTTCACTACAGAATCATGTAATATCTGATCTTTTTCAAACAACATTAACATGCGACACAAAAATTCCGGACAGATACTCTAATTCCGGACTACCTCTCACTTTTCAAGCATAGCTTGTCCTGGACAATTGACATTCCATATTGTGACATAGAAGATGACAACAACTATGTAGATAACAGTGATAGTTCCCTAGGGATCAGGTTATTTCTGCACAAAATTCTGCACCCCGTACAGATTTCTGCACAGAAATCTGCTTTTTTAAAGATTTTGTATAATACTGTCCTACAAAATGTATCATTATAATGGTGATAAGTCTGTTTCCTGACCGATTCCTTCCTTGGTTCCTTGTCCAGATCCAGCCTGGTGGGTCACTACAGAGTGTGACATCTTTTCACTACAGAATCATGTAATATCTGATGGTTTTACAAACAACATGTCTTTTTCCTATCTTGATAGTTCATCTGTGTTGGTAGAAGACATTATGCAGCAAGATTTAAACTGTAATTTCCAACACAAGAAATTGGATTGTTCATTCCTTGACAAAGACTGGAGTTGTACAGTCGAAAATTTGGGTGAGTCCATTTTCTTGTGTTGGAAATTACAGTTTAATGGTTGCTGCATATTGTCTGTTTCCTGACCGATTCCTTAGTCTTTGGTTCCTTGTCCAGATCCAGCCTGGTGGGTCACTACAGAGTGTGACATCTTTTCACTACAGAATCATGTAATATCTGATCTTTTTACAAACAACATTAACACGCGACACTAAAATTCCGGACAGATACTCTAATTCCGGACTACCTCTCACTTTTCAAGCATAGCTTGTCCTGGACAATTGACATTCCATATTGTGACATAGAAGATGACAACAACTATGTAGATAACAGTGATAGTTCCCTAGGGATCAGGTTATTTCTGCACAAAATTCTGCACCCCGTACAGATTTCTGCACAGAAATTTGCTTTTTTAAAGATTTTGTATAATACTGTCCTACAAAATGTATCATTATAATGGTGATAAGTCTGTTTCCTGACCGATTCCTTCCTTGGTTCCTTGTCCAGATCCAGCCTGGTGGGTCACTATAGAGTGTGACATCTTTTCACTACAGCATGTAATATCTGATCGTTTTACAAACAACATGTTAGAGGGATCCCAGGCCCTACTAGGGTTTGGGTTGGCGTTAGGAAGAGCATCCAGCCGTAAAAATCCTGCTTCAAAAAAGACTTGTACTTGGTGCAAGCACGTCTAACCCCCGGTTGGGGAAAAATGATGTTAAATTCGGTTTTAAAAAAAAATGTATGTTTCCTGACCGATTCCTTCTTTGGTTCCTTGTCCAGATCCAGCCTGGTGAGGGAGAGGTTGACCTTGTGTGCCAGCTGCAGCGCCATGAGTCCTGCTGTCCTGATGTCGTTCTCTCGGAGGTCCAGCCTCACGATTCGCGGGTTTATAGACAGGAACTCTGCCAAGGCAATGGCACCTAAAGTGGAGGAAGGCAGAATTAGAATGTTATCATGACATCATTAAACAGAAGAGGGGGAGTCAAATACAAGTAGCCTGCAGCCAGTCAGCCATGTGCACGGACACACAGAGCAGCTATGATGAGGACTGTAAGGCTAATATCCAAGAGGTTGGAGACCTCACGATACGCAGGTTGATAGACAGGAACTCTGCCAAGGCAATGGCACCTAAAGTGGAGGAAGGCAGAATTAAATTGTCGTCATGTTTTACTTTACATTAATAGTTCATCCTTGTGTACCCTTTGTGTCGGAATAAAGTTTATCAGCATGAACACACGACAGTCCCGCCATTTTGACATTGTTCTCTTTGAGGTCCAGCCTCACGATCCGCGGGTTTATCGACAGGAACTCTGCCAAGGCAATGGCACCTAAAGGGTGAAGGAAAGACAGTGACTGTCACAATGTTATCAGACCAACCACTTTTTTCTCGGAACCAAGAGGTCCCGGGTTTGAGTCCTGACATGCCACCAATCTTGTGCCCTTGGGAAAGGCACTTTACACGACTTTTCTCAATTAACTCAAGTGAAAATGAGTATTTCGATGAAGGTTAGACATCCAGGTAATACGATACACCAAAAAGCAGTTACTCAAGCAACTGGATATGATTTTGGAAATGAGTATTGTCTTGTCCTTCGTCCTCTGCGTTGGTGGCGGCATAAAATAAGTTGATATAACTTGATTGTGCCATCACGTGTTTCGTCATGAAATGTTGGAATGTATAACCTTCTCACCTTCACAGGTCATCTTGGTGTCCACCAGCCCCAGTCTGAGAAGTGATTGGTTCATGAGCAGCCCTTCCTTCATGCTCAGTACTCCCTCGTTCCCGATCGGGTTGTGTCCCATGTTCAGGGTCTCCAGGTAGTTCAGCACAGGCTGTACAACAATAAGTTACCAATTAAGAAGTTATCATGAACGTTCATCTGTGTTGGTAGTTACATGTTTAAAGTTAAAACTTTTGGTCCAACACAAAAAATTCTCTCACCTAGAGCTTTCGACCAGTCACTCTGGTCTTCCTCAGTAGACTGACCCAGTGAAGCTTGTGTCGTGGCTTCTTTGTTGACGTCACACTTTAAAAAAGCCACGTGACAAGCCTCACTCGGTCAGTCTACTGAGGAAGACCAGAGTGACTGGTCGAAAGCTCTAGGTGAGAGAATTTTTTGTGTTGGACCAAAAGTTTTAACTTTAAACAATTAAGAAGTTAGTTATGTTAAATTACACTCTTTGTATATCTGCATCTGTATCTGTATAGCCGGTATAACTGCCCTTTGGGGTTGTGTCCCATGTTCAGGGTCTCCAGGTAGTTCAGCACAGGCTGGACAGGATTTGATATTTTCAGTCATGATACCCAATAAACACTTCCTGTATTATTAATTATGTTTACCGAAGGAAAACATATTGTTTTTACTCAGTTTCTTCCTCTTCTGTTCCAAACACTAACCTCTGACCTGGCCAATAACATGATTTGTTGACGTCTGTCACCATGGTGACTGGTGTTGGGTTACATAATGTTGCAATTTCATGGTCTCCTTTACTCCTGTCACCATATACTCGCAGTACATGTATGTGAATGTGTTTGAGTAAAAATTAACAAGGCAGACCATGTCCAAAGGTAAACATTATGCATTTGCTTTGCAAATGTTACTTCTCTAGTACCCTTAGTATATCTGTATCTGTATTTGAGTCTGTATTTGTAACCAAGTCTTTTATTCAGCCGACGTTTGGGAATGCATCTACAGCAGTGACACCTGTGCTGCAATGCGATGTCAGAATTGTCCTGAGAAAGGTGAAAGGAAGGTCACCGAAACGTCGGCTGAATAAAAGAAATAAAAGACTTGGTTGTGTAAAAAGAGTCTCTTTACTCAGTTACTATTTCTTCCACCAAACGGGAGCGGGAGTATGAACATTGACGGCACCAGCGCACTCTAACATGCCAGAGCAATCATTACCATGATGTTGGGCATCAAGGAGAAGAAGAAGGTGAACTTACCAGTGTCTCCCTTAGGTACTCTGCCCCCAGCTGTGTGATGTGGTTGCTCCACAGGACCAGGGTGACGATGCCTCTCTCCTGTTCACCCAAACCCTCACAGATGTGCACCAGCCCCGTGTCCTAAAGGAAAAGCAACAAGACTGGTAATGAAAACATACATTGCCATGGTGACGGTGGTTCCAGGTGGTTTGACACTTACTGAGAGGTTAGTACTCTCACCCTTCAAATAACTTGTCACTGATGAAAGAATCTACTACCGGTAGTAACCAAAAACGTTTCTCTTTTCCCCACCTGAATCTGGTTGTTCCTGAGATCCAGAAGTTGGACAGTGTTGTTCTGCTTCAGCATCTGGCCGATCTGCTGCGCGTCGGGCACTCCCAGCCGGTTGTCGGCCAGGAACAACTCTTTCACGGCAACGTTCACTTTTAGGGCTGACACTGTGGAGAAAAAAAGAAAAAGAATGGCCAAGTCACTTCCTTTTGTCTATGCATGATGCCAACACAGATTAGCACCTGTCTCAATGGATGCTGGCAATAGCACTGATATGGTGGCTGACACAGGACTTAAATTTGTGCCTGTCCCTGCCACACCAATTTAATTTCTTGGTTAACGGATTCGCCGCTTCATTTTTTTCTGATTTGCAAATAAAAATAAAAATTCAGAATCAACTGCAAAATGCTCATATTTTGCCCTGAACAGTTGAAAACAGTCCTTTTCTTACTACTTGTTACAGTCATTCCATCTTTCAATGCAGTAGTATCATTAATAGTTCAAAATTCATTGTTTAAATTTTGAACCAGCCTGGTGTGTTGACTTCATGGCTCCTATGGTACCATTTTGGGCCATAATAGGATGCCTAGGCCTGTTTTTATTTTTATTTTTTTTCCGCCCGCCTGCTCCATTATTTGTCTAGAAAAATCCGTTAACCAAGAAATTAAATTGGTGTGGCCTAAGAGTTACAATGTTTTATGGCAGAGTTCCAGAGCTTTACGGTGGCCAGGAGGAAGGTTCTTCTGTGGGACATACAGTCAACTGGGGTATCCTCACTAGATCCTCACTAATGTAACCGGCTGCCTTTGTACCATGTACCTTCAGAGCTGGCATGTCAGCTATACTGATAGAGATACAGACAAAATCATCATATAACTCTTTCACGGCAACGTTCACTTTTAAGGCTGACACTGTAGAGAATAATAAAAATGGACAAGACATTCAGAGGTATCGTAATAGAGGTATCGTAAAAAAATGCAAAGGTTGGGGGTGACAGATTTATTTATTTATTGAAAAATGCAACAAGACATTACACTGACTCTCAAGGCAGCAAAGCTGATATTAGAGGGTCAACATATAAGGACAAAACACATAGGGCACATAATTTCAATACAAGAAATACAAGAACAATCATAAAGACTTAACCTATATCAGTCTAATTAATTAAGTACATATATATATAAATAGTAAAAATTATATCAGTCTAATTAATTAAGTACATATATATATATAAATAGTAAAAATAACGCATTTGGAGGTCAGAGGTCCAGAAAAAAAAAGACTACCTCATAAGAGAAAATTGGTACTAAATAACAAGGCTAGGAGGAACAGCTGTAAGTGCCTAGAAACAGTTTGTTGAAGTGATGTAGGTGTGGAAGGCGTGTGAAAGGCTTTTGTTTAATGTAATGTCATTGCCTGGGGACCCGTTGAGTAGAACGCTGGTGGAGAGGGGCCGTCTCACGTGACAGGTTGTTCAGTGTAATGTAACTGTTGTTCATTGTAATGTAAGTTGCTGTTCCACGTGTACCTTCAAAGCTGCCAAACAGCTATAAACATACAGATACAGACAGAATTTGCCAGGGATAATTCTTTCACTGCAACTTCACTTTCAAGGCTGACACAATGGGAAAAAGGAATGGACAAGTCTTACCAGATAGCTTTAAACAAAAGTCAAAACTGCCCAAGAGGCCACCTCTTCAAGGTAGCCATTTGGCCATAGCGCTCACCTTTTCACAGTCTGTGAAAGTTTTTTTAAAGTCTCCTGTCTTAGGATGCCATAGAAGATCTCTTTATCTCGTCCCATGTTTAACAGGTTTAATTGTACACATGGAGGGTACTAGTTGCAAGATAAGCAATCATGAAAATCTAAGCTTACTTAAATCAAGTTTGTGTTTGAATTTTGAAGAGGCAGACTATTTATTCTAAGGACTACAGGAGTAGCAAAGGTTAATGCATTTGTGCTGTTGGTTGGAGTACAGTGTTTCCGCCAGACCAACGCCCGAAGGCCGTCCCATGGAGGGCGGAGCGGCGAGCTTACTACAGTGGTCCTAAAGGCTATTTCCCGCATTTTGAGAGGCAAATAATTGTTGATAAAGGACGGTCTCCTTTCTGGCTCAGGCCGTCCCCAGCGGGAAGAGAGCGTCAAAGGACGGCTGGACGGTCGCCTGGCGAAAACACTGTTGGAGTAGTTGTAGCTGAGCTCAACAATGGCCAGGTGCCAGCGAACAATGTGATGCATAAACAGTGTGCTGTAGGCTTGGTGTTTTGAAGGCATGGGTGGTTTGTCAAGGGTGGTTTGACAGGTGACAATGTGCTCGCTAGCATTCTTAAGGTTCAGCCCTGCCACGGATGTCAGAAGCCCAATGCCAGTTACAGGGCTCGAAATTCATTTTTGGGAATAAGTGCACTGGTGCACCCAACCTAAAAAATTTGGTGCACAAATTTTTTTGGGTGCACCATATAAAATGAAAGCCAATTCTTACAGTAACTGCTCCTCTTATGAGCTTGAATCTGAAATGGGAGTTAAAGCTAATAATTTAAATACAGTCAAAACTGTCCATCCAACCAACCCTATCCACCAACCAACCCCAATCAACGACCACAATGGGACAGTCCCGTCCTATTTTGCATAGTAATTGTGCTCTATTAAACAACCAACTGCCGGCCGCAACCAGCGGCCACTTTGTTTTGGGCCGCAGGGGGCATTCACACTCCATTCAACGACAAATTTGATTGACAGCGGTAATCTGTTCAGCGGCTATTTCAAAAATTCTTGATACACGTGTACCTTGCTACCGGATACGGCTGAGGGACCAGGAAGTGAGCCGGTCTGACCGGTCGACAAGATTCTTAAATAAAACATTGAACGTGTATTTTTTTGTGCAATATTGTCAGTTGTCCATAGACTAGCATGGCAATGGCTTTCAACACGTCGTCACCGAAGAGAAAACCTACATTGGAAGCATTCATTGGAAGCTTGTACATGTTCATTTTGACTTGACTCTTGAGTAACAGCTATTCTACATGTAATAATTGTAGAAGACAACAATTCAGCATACTTGTTACATAATGTACTTTGCTCAATTGAATTAAACATGCATTTTGCAGGTGAAAACTTGTGTGCTTCATCATTATGGTTTCTAGATAAGAAATACAGATGCAGTGATTACTAGTGAATAATAATACATACACATGTAGCCCGTTATGAGTATTATTATCAGCCAACCAACCCAGTTTTATCCAACAACCAACTCCAATCACCAACCATATTTCCTTGGTCCCTTGAGTGGTTGTTGGATGCAGTTTTGACTGTAATTAAACTGGTAATGCAACAAAGATTTCATTATTTTTCTGACAGTTGTAGGCTAAGAATATCCTGTATATATACTAATAAAAATTTAATATGTACAAAAATACCTACAAAAATGCACCCACAGAAAAAAAAAATGGGTGCACAGCTCCAACTTTGGGTGCACTGAGGTGCAAATGTACCCAGTATTTGGAGCCCTGTCAGTAATAGTGACTGGCGTTTGGTGTGGTTCTGGGTCAGAGCACAAACCTCTTACCACAGTAGTGGCAACACCACAGACGTCACTCCAACATAAACACACAACTTCAAATGTTGCATGAATATGGGCCTGTTGTTGACGGAGTTGTTTCTATATAACATTTATATCCTTCAATAAGAGCTTAGAAAAATAAAGAAGTGTTTGCTGGTTTGGACATATCTATTGGAAGTTGAACACAAAGTTATGAAGTCTTGAGGGGTATTATAGTTCGGACTTTGGCCACTGAAAAGGAGCCATGTTGACCATGTTGTGTTTGTATGCATTTTCCTTTTGATTGCTAGGCGTTTTGGCTCAGCTTAAATCTCTTACTTCTGTAGGCTGTAAATTAGACACCACCTGACTTAAGGCCACACCAATTTAATTTCTTGGTTAACGGATTTTTCTAGAAAAATAATGGAGCGGGCGGGCGAAAAATAAAAAAAATTAAAACAGGCCTAGGCATCGTACTATGGCCCCAAATGGTACGATAGGAGCCATGAAGTCAACACACCAGGCTGGTTCAAAATTTAAACAATGAATTTTGAACTTTTAATGATACCACTGCATTGAAAGATGGAATAACTGTAACAACTAGGATGAAAAGGACTGTTTTCAACTGTACAGGACAAAATATGAGCATTTTGCAGTTGATTCTGGATTTTTATTTTTATTTGCAAATCAGAAAAAAATGAAGCGGCGAATCCGTTAACCAAGAAATTAAATTGGTGTGGCCTAAGATATGAAAATGAACATATCATTGCACAATTTATCAGCTCAGGTACTTACCATTGAAGAAAGATTTTGCTGGGATGATTCTGTATCTGTATCTGTATAGCCGGTCTAACACCCCCTTTGAAGGTACACGCCTAACCTAACACTTACTGAGGAGCAACAGATGATATTTTGAGCCCCGATGAGCTACATTTTTTGACACTTACTGAGGAGGAACAGGTGATATTTTGAGCCCCGATAAGCTACATTTTTTTGACACTAAGTCTTACTGAGGAGGAACAGGTGATATTTTGAGCCCCGATGAGCTACATTTTTGGACACTTACTGAGGAGGAACAGGGGCCTCCCGCTGAGGTTGGTGCACTCCAGGTGTAAGGTGTGTATCCTGCTGCCCATCCGCAGGGCCCGGCTGAGGTGGGGCGCTGTCTGCTCCGTGATGAGGGTGCTCCTGGCATCCAGGTACTCAAGGCACTGTGTCTGTACCAGAGAGATAAAAGATAGCTCAAAATCTCAGCTTAATAATTGTCATTATGTACAGCTTCCTGTATCTTAAGAATGATACCGTGTTGTATAAGGGTGCTACGGGCATCCAGGTACTCAAGGCACTGTGTCTGGAAAGGTGGAAAATGGTAAGACTGATTATCACTGCTAAAAAGACAGTCCCATAGCTCTTTTTGAGGCTGTAGGGGCCACTGGATCTTAACGGTGCACACCCCAGTTCTTGCGCGACCGGGGTCCGTGATAGTCCGTTGTAAAAAAGTGACGGAAGGGTTTTGAGGGTCCAAGTTTGAGGTGACATTTCTCATAAACTGCCACGAAGTATCATTAAACATTAACATGGCTGAAGAGTGTAAGAAATGGTGATTTTGGGGTGAAAATTTCTTTTGGCTCCGAACCTTACTTCCGGGTATCCTTGCGCGCCAAGTGTAATCCGCCCGTTTGACCTAGATTTCGCTCTGCGGCTTCGTAGGGGTGGATTTGCAACCCCTCGCGCCGTGGACTGTTTAGAAAATTACAGTACTAGAATTTTCTTTATAATCTACTCGGGTATAGTCAAGGCTTGGGTCTTTCTGCCAGCATCAGTCATTTCTGCCGGAAAATTTTTTTCTATGGGATTATCCTACGCGAAAATTCGCAATTTGGGGCATTAATTTTGGAGTGAAAATAATGTTTTTTCCGTTGATTTTACCAAACTTAAAAAGGTTGAAGAAACCAAACTCAGCTGGTCTTGTAGCTGAAGAGATATCCTTTCGTCCCATATACAGTTATTCTCCTTCCGAATTATTCCACGCCAGAGACGGTCGCTAGATTTGAGGGTATGCAGCTTCGAATAGAGACGCCAAATAAACTGGGGTGTGCCCCCTTAAGAAAGGACCTGTGTTGTATAAGGGTACTCAAGGCACTGTGTCTGACAGGAAAGACGCAAAATCGTAAGACATATAGCTCTTTTTGTGCTATGGGCATCCAGGTACTCAAGGCACTGTGTCTGTACCAGGGAGATAAAAGATAGCTCAAAATCTCAGCTTAATAATTGTCATTATGCAAAGCTTCCTGTATCTAAAGAATGATACCGTGTTGTATAAGGGTGCTACGGGCATCCAGGTACTCAAGGCACTGTGTCTGACAGTAAAGATGCAAAATCGTAAGACATAGCTCCTTTTGAGGCTGTAGGGACAGTGGGTTGTTAGTCCACTGGATCTTAAGAAAGGACCTGTGTTGTATAACTATAAGGGTACTCAAGGCACTGTGTCTGGAAAGGTGTAAAATGGTAAGACATAGCTCTTTTTGAGGTCATAGGGGCAGTGAGTTGTTACTAACTGCCCACTGTATCTATTGTACAGCATGAGAAGATGGAGTCCATCCCTTCTCTCCTATTGTCTTTACCCCTTTTGCTGACATTCTACTTATTTTATCTTACATGGTGCACCTAAATTATTTTTTTGTGCACCCTTTTTTTGGGGTGCACCAGTCCACCTATTCCCAGAAATGAATTTCGAGCCCTGCAGTAACAGTCCTCACATGCGCAGTGTAGTTTAGGGAATGGGTCCTTGCATGTTGTCGGTCAATATGTGAACGTCTACTGGAGCTTGTCATGGTATTGGAAGGAAGAGCCCAACCTGTTTTGTGTCATAGATTCTCGCAGTTTATTCATGAGAAAAATAAAAAGACTTGTTTTGGTATGCTTAAAGTATGACCAAAGTGTGCTAAGAAATGACAGTAAATGTCATTATTGGACAAATTTCTTCTGATATTTAGCCCAATCTATGCATGAAGAAAAAAAACTGTACTGACATGTGCTACCCTGTAGATCACCTAGCTAAAATGCCTATAGGCAATATGTTTCCTCTGTAGAAATAAACAAACAAACAAACAAACGTACCTTCCTGACCATCCTAGCCATAGCCTGCCAGCCTCTGATGCTGATGTGTTTGTTGAAGGCTACGTTTAACTTCACAGCCGACTCGTAATACTCGATCATGTCCGCCAAGGCAACTGCACACTGGAAGAGAACACACCGGCTAATTGCATACAGACATTAACAAGAAAAATGTGGTGATATAAGACTATTTGCTAACATGAACTTCTACGTGTACGATATACTTATCGAGCCTACTATCTTTACTTAAACCTAATAACGTTGGTATACATACAGGGTAAAAAGTAAATATGCAATATGTAAACAGGTAATAGGAACAAAGTAACTGCTATTCTAATCTATTCTATTGAACTATTATTGTCATGCTATTAGGGGGTTTGACTTCTTCTCAGGAGGCAGTGGGAGATGAATTGTCCGACTCTTTGAAAAATACATGGGTTGGGGGACTTAAGCAATAATATAGTCTTTTGTTGTTGGTTAAGATATGAAAAACTTGGGGAAATAAATACATAAAAAGCCAAGAAAGAACAACTGTACTGCATCCTCATCTCTAGCAGGCTTCAGAAGCGGCTGGAAAGTGCTTTGGGAGCAGCAAACTGTACACCTTTAGCAGACCAACTCCCCTGGCATGTAATCTGTCTATTTGGCTAATTTTTCCTCTTTCCGGACGCTTCTGAAGAATGGTAGAGGCTACTGCAACCAATTTCTTCAAGATGTAGAAATTTTATCTGGAATGGTCAAATTCACATCCAAACTAGGTTGTAATGTATCATGTTTCCTAAACAGTTACTTGTAATTATATTCATAACTATGTAGTCGAATCAGAGCTCTTTTTTTCTGTACCTGCACTGCACACCAGAAATACCTGCACAGCCCCAATTTTACCTGCACTAACCTGCATATGCAGGTGTTATTTCCAGCCCTCTTAAATGTTTCTCATTGGTAGACCATACAATTTTTTGTGATATCCTAAATAACTAAGATGATGTTGAAAGTTAAGAACCCACCTCTGCATCCATGCTGGTCTGTTCCAGGTCAACGTTCACGAATCGAACTCTCCTCAGAACTTCTTCTAGTGTCTCAGCTATTTTGGAATCTAACCTTTCGCCTGTAAGAGTGCACAAAGAGACAATTAGTCACCATGTTATCTTTTCAAGCTTTCATCACATGCAGAACCATACTGAAGACATACAAAGTGGAGTGTTAGAAATTCCCACCTGCAGTCTGCATTTACCAGAAAAATTTTGAATATTGCAGAAGAAAAATTAACCTGCAATTTTGCAGACTGAGTAAATCTGCCTAGGCCCCTAGTTTGATTGCGTTAGTATATAATATTGTTTAAGAGTTTTGTGTTTATTTTACAGACTTTATGCATGTGTTTCTCAACTTGCATGTAAAATGTTTGCCAACATACAATTTTTAGGTAATATCATAAGGATTTAATGTATTTTTGCAGAATGTAATTTTCTGAATTGCAGAATAACATTTTGACATTCTGCAATATTGCAGAATAGGTGTGTACTGAAAAAAAAGTATTTCTCTCACTGAAGTGCCCCATTGCTATTATATATCCTAAAAGGTTAAACTCATTGGCCTTCTTGACCCCATGCAGCAGCCTCAATACCTGCCTACAGACCCTTTCCTAATGAAGGGCTTTTCATTCCACTGAATAGCCATTACGGAGATTATGGTGATGACAATACATGTAGACAAGTTTTAATATGCACCTAATCGGTATTGCAGCATACCCAGCCAATGTTATTATTACAGATATGACAACTTGTCTCCCTGTCTCATAACATAGGCTACTGACGCTGTCATCTGGAATGGTTATACTAATAAAGAACTAGGTAATATTTTGTAATTGGGATGGGGAATGGTTATTATTTTATTTTCTGTGCCAGCCTTGCAATACTCAACCTACACACAGTCTAGACTCAATGATGGAATACTAAAAATAGAATGTTTTCAAGTCTTTTCATCTGTCTGAGAAAAAAAAGCAAGCTCTCTCAAGTAGGAAGATTTCTATACCTATTACATGTACAAACATTGTTACCAGATGCTGCATCTATTAATTGCCATGTGGCAGACTAAATTAGCCTTATCATATGTCTTCCTCTGTCTTCAAAAAAGAAGTCAAACCCAGTAGTTTTTTCTACTAGTAGTCTCTTAATAGTTATCAGTAGTTATATGTGTACTTATTACCTGTTTTTATACAAATGTTTCTTCTGTTCATGCAATTAGCCTTCGGGCATGAATTTGCAATAAAACTTTCATCATAAAAGCTCATCACAGTATCAGGTAATCCAGATTACTGGAGAATAAAGATCATTATCCCCGATACATGACAGGCTGTACGCATCTGGTGCCAGCCAAGATCATGTACAGTATACATAATAGACATTAGTCATCATTTCGCAATGCACTTTGGGACCAGTTTTCTTAATTCACAATGGCAACTGCAAATATATCTTTTTGGTCATTGTGGTTAATGCTTCCACTCTGAAGTTAACTCCTCAATAATTTGTTTGCTTAGTGAAAATGTAGCCCCATTTTTTTAGGGAGCGAGTATGGGAGCCCTGGCATACAAATAGGATGGCACCCAGGCTAGTGAAAATGCCCCTTTACTCTATGATGTTGTTTCTCAAGTGCATGTTTCACAATTTTCATTCTCCACACGTTATACCCGTCCCCTGCAGAAAGGGGCTGAGTTCTAACTGTGTTACTGTATGCTGTTGCCATAGCTGTAATGACATTACCGGCTCATGTGAAATTAGTTTAGATATACAATACCTTTCTTGGAAATACGAGTAACAGAATTGAATACAGAGTAACCTTAGGAAACAGATTGGGAGATTTCTGATATGGAAATCAATTATCTTATCAATCTAGTTGCTCCATAAGGCAGCTTTTGGTTACTGAATATAATATAGTATGGTAGAAAGTGGTGCTGTGTACCTAAACCCACATTTAGGTTCAGGTCCAGATTCAAGTCCAGAGGTTTAGGTTCAGTTCCGGACTCGTAAGTCCGGACCTCAACCCATGGCATATACAAAATTGCATGTTGGCAACCTTGCAATGTTGTATGGGCAAAACTGTGGCCACATAACATGGAGGCCAACACTTGACGATGCCCGATGGCAATGTTTTCATCATTTTGCACCACAGATTTTACAATCTATGGAAGGTTTTAGCTAGTTTGGAAAGAAAAGGGGTATGTGACATGTTTTTTATTTTGTAATAAGTCCAGAATCGGTTCTTGACTTTTAGTTTTTTTTTTACCTGAACCTAAACATGTTTACAAGTCCGGAACCAGTCCAGGGAACCGGTACACAGCACTACTGAATATAGTATGGTGGAAAATGATACAGTTCAGATCTAAGTTCAAGTCGTTGCTGCATTACCTTTCAGATTTAAGCATTCCACCCGTTTGGTGAAGTCTGTAATTGCCTGTATGAAGAAAAGAACAATTTTATGAAAAAATGTCAATATCCACAAAAATCTGCACTATCAGTATCATCAACAAGTTAGTCCTACCTGCACATACTTTGTGTTCATAATTTCTTCAGCTTTGGACTCAATGCCAAACTCAATTACAATATTTGTAATGTTTAGCTTAAGAAGCGGATTCATATAGGCTATATAGCCTCTTATCCGACCGTTATTATGTTATGTTATGCCACATACATGTATACTGATATAGTGGACAAGTGTATAGCTTAAAATCTGAATGGCCACATACACTGTACATTATTTGTTGAGAAATTCAATTTTCAAGTGTCATCAATACAGCAATATTTGACAGTACATCTGACCCCTTTTTCTGGCCCATTCCATTACTTTTAATGTTCTTGTTCAGGCATTTACAAACTCAGTTCTAAGGCCACACCAATTTAATTTCTTGGTTAACGGATTTTTCTAGAAAAATAATGGAGCGGGCGGGCGAAAAAAAATAAAAACAGGCCTAGGCATCCTATTATGGCCCAAAATGGTTACAATAGGAGACACGAAGTCAACACACCAGGCTGGTTCAAAATTTAAACAATGAATTTTTAACTATAAATGATACCACTGCATTGAAATATGGGATGACTGTAACAAGTAGCAAGAAAAGGACAGTTTTCAACTGTTCAGGGCAAAATATGAGCATCTTGCAGTTGATTCTGAATTTTTATTTTTATTTGCAAATCAGAGAAAAATTAAGCGGCGAATCCGTTAACCAAGAAATTAAATTGGTGTGGCCTAAGAAAGATCTCTATTTTCTCAGAGTACCTCCTTGTACTTTGTATTTGCATACTGTGCATTATATTTACTGTACTACTACATACCAAAGTGGTACGTGTATCATGCTTTCCCAAACTCTACTCAAATAACAAGGCAACACTGTCAATCATGAACAGCTGATGAGACATGTGATAGCTGTTTCCTGACCTCCAGCTGCTGCAGCACACGTGGGAGAGGTCGGATGTTCAGTTTCTGACAGTGGTCCCTGTACGCAGACACTAGCTCTTCTGTGGTGCAGGTTGCAGCTGGGTGGAGAACAAATTTTCATTTTATTTTATTTTATTGAAATTGCAACAATGCAATACACGCGGAACAGAGGCAGCTGTTGCTGGTGTTGTGTCCCGCACATAGAAACGTATACTGGACAGACAATACTCATTTTCACTTGAGTCCAGTGGGGAAAGTCGTGTAAAGTGCCTTTCCCAAGGGCAAAAGATCGGTGGCATGTCAGGACTCGAACCCAGGACCTCTTGATTCCGAGTTGAGCGCGCTGCCGTTGAGCCACACGAGAACAAATTTAAAGATATAACATCATGGTCTTTATGGTTTTTGGTAGCGTGTGTATGTGCTATTTGTTAAGCACAATAACTCAAAGGTTTTGGACGGTAGATGGTAGCTCTTGTGCTCAGGAAGAAGTGACATTAGCTTGGGCCCTTGGGAAGCTTAAGCCTTAAGGGTTGCAACTTGTATGTTGAGTTTCTGACAGTGGTCCCTGTACGCAGACACTAGCTCTTCTGTGGTGCAGGTTGCAGCTGGTTGGAAAACAAATTAAACAAAATGACATTTTCTTTGAACAAATCTAATACCTTTGCCAGAAGGCTAAAGTATGTTTTTGGTGGCATTTGTGTGTATGTATGTATGTATGTGTGTGTGTGTGTATGTTTGTATGTATGTATGTGTGTGTGCCATGTATAGTGGTTTAGCACGATAACTCAAGTAGCTTTAGATGGATTGTCATGAAACTTGGCAGCTGATTAAGCCTTGATGAGACCTTGAAATAGGTAGGTTTGGGGCTCTCCGGCGGTTTGTTATGCTACTGCGGCAGAACTTCCAGTTTTAGTATCTCATGATATGGACATGCTAGGGTCACAAATTTTGGATGGTAGGTAGCTCTTCCGCTCAGGAAGAAGTGATATTAGCTTGGACCCTGGGGAGGGGTGTATGTTTTGATTTCTGACAGTGCTGATATTAACTCTTGTGTTGTACAGGTACTGGGGGTTGGATAAACAAATGACTTGGTCTTTATTGAATTCCCAGTTCCCTAAACAAAATATATGACATTGCTCTTTGCTGACGATGTTTCCAATCTTCAACAGCTGATTTGAAATCAATAGTAATCAAATGACACAGAGTGAGTCATTTCCAAGAATTGTGCTGTACAGATAAGGATATATCTAGTGAATCATTTCCAAGAATTGTGCTGTAAGGGCAGGAAATAGGAGGTAGATGTCGTGGAAAGTGCATGGCAGATATAATGCTTTCAATATGTTCATTCAAGAAGCAGTTCAGGTCTTTATACATGTATTGTCAAAATCATGTGGCTTGAACTAAATGTCATGGGGATAAAACAGCCTTTCAAATGAAATTCTATATTTTATCAATTTTTCTTATCAGTTGTGATCGCAATTCACCAATGAAAGAAATTGACAAGCAGCATAATAGTTACAGCATATGATGTTAATGTTATATCTAACAATCTACAAAGTTAGAAGTTTGACTTTATAGAATATCATAATTGTATGAACAATTTCAGATAAACTGTGATAAAACAAGGCCTACTACTTTATTGTTTATCAACAAGAACCTTGTTGCTTGAACAGTATGTAACTATATCGAAGAAAAAATGACATGGCATTTGAAACATCAGATCAATCACATGCGCAGGTGTACTATAACGATACAGGTGTGCAGATACATGTAACGTTACAGGTGTTTTAAAAGGCAACGGGTTAAAATCATATGACCGTGTTCCACAACCAAAAGACACTCATATTAAAGTGATATATTTAGTGCTAAAAATAAACATTGTTTGAACTGTATGTCATATATATATATATATATATTTTTTTTTTAAATTACTTCAAACATCACATGAGTCACATGCACAGGTGTAAAACTACTAGTAAGCAAATGGAATCAAAAGACACTCATCAGTGGAATACTAACTTAGTAACTAGTGCTGAAAAAAGACCAGAAAGACGTGAAGACGGTAATCAGTAGTATACTAGTACTCAAAATGACGAGAACTTTATAATATTATATGGCATTTCAAAACCACATGAATCACATGCGCAGGTGTAGAGGTGAATGCAATAACGTTACAGATACAGGTGAAAAGCAAAATCGGATAAAATCACCACAAAATGCTAGCACTCAAGATGAACAGAAAAGGCGTGAAAATGAAGATCTAAACACACGAACCCAGGGACCAGGGGTCTGGCGGCTCCGCGGAGCCAGCAACAAGTTCGTCGTCAGCTGGAAAGTTGACACGTCTTCCTGGCAGTTTTGTTTTCAGGAAGCTGGCAGTAGGTCGGCTCTCTATCGCCGGCTGCTCCGACGGTTCTAACGTCACCGGCCCAGACATTTCGCCCCCTTCACGTCTGTCTGTTTCTAGGGCCGGATACTGCAGGAATCATGTCTTTAGGAGGGAGTTTTCCCCGTGAAAAATCACTGTATCTTTGCGGCAAAGTTTTTAGGGGCCATTTTTCTGATGTCGTCTCCTTGTTTCTCTTCTCCGTGATCACATGAGGGACTTCACGCGAGATTACACGTGATGTTAGCGTATCCGAGGTCGCAAGTCAACCGCTCTCTGATTGGACGAGTTTTCCGCGCCAGCCAATAGAAATGCACGACACAGAATGGTTGTAGATGTTCCTTTGGGCGGCCATTTTGAGTCGGTTCTGTCAATGTCTGTGTACGAACTCCTGACAATTTCTGGTTTCAGTTCTGATTTTTGTCGCGGTATTTCTGTATCTGTGCGGCGTTTGGACGCGTGACAACAGGCTGGGTCTTACCAAGGTAAGGTCTACGTTTTGACTCCACACTTATCCTGTGTGTTTCAAGTACCGGTAGTTTGCTAGCTCAACGGTCAAACAAGTCTTTCAAGTTCAGTTGACAAATAATTTGTTTTTTCCCAGCCAACTTCCGGTTTCTGAAGATGGCAAGGACGTCATTCATTGTTATGCATCGTATTCACATTTGAATTATTGTTTTTGCTGCCACTTCTGCTAAAATAGCAAAACAAAAGAGTGAGTCAACTTGCGCTGATTCAAAAACTTTTGCTAGTGAATAATATTGAAATTACCATATGAATGAAATTATGAATGAATGAACATTTTGTCATATGCAAATGTAGTAATGAATTATTGATTGAATGTGGTCGAGATCAACATTACTTGGTGTGGGCCAATTACTTTGAAACATATTGTACATGTATACTAATGAATTTCAAGTTCAATACTGTTGATATGTATGTAAGAAACCAGGAGGAGACCGTTACATGTATATATATCGTCTCATCATAATCATGATGCATGCCTGAAAGTCAAAATTCTGTTTTCTGTATAGCCGGTATAACAGCCCTTCTGCATAACACACCGTCTTCTGTATCTGTATCTGTATAGAAGCAGATAACCGCCTGTATCTGTATAACCGCCTTTCGGTGTAACACACCAGCTTCTGTATCTGTATAGCCGGTATAACTGCCCTTCGGCGTAACACACCAGCTTCTGTATCTATATAGCCAGTATAACTGCCCTTCAACGTAACACACCAGCTTCTGTATCGGTATAGCCGGTATAACCGCCCTTTGATGTAACACACCAGCTTCTGTATCGGTATATATAGCCCGTATAACCGCCCCTTTGATGTAACACACCAGCTTCTGTATATATATAGCCAGTATAACTGCCCTTCGGCGTAACACACCAGCTTTGCAGGCACGTAGCACCACAGTCCACAGAAGTTAGCTATATAATAGTAATATATTACACCAAACAACATTAATTACACCCAATCTTTGCACATCTAACCATTGCCCCATATTCATACAAAACCAGGTCTGAACAGAGGATTATAAAGATGCCGCCTGTAAAGAAGGCAGTGAAGAAGAGAGCTCCGCCGAAGCACAAACTGCCCGAGCCGCTGAAGCCCGGAGAGGTGCTGACTGACAACATGAAGAGGCAGTGGAAAGTGGGAGGAGCTGTGGGACAGGGGGGCTTTGGACTTCTGTATGCAGGTACATATATTACATATATTACATATATTACATATATTACATATATTACATATATTACATATATTACATATATTACATATATTACATATATTACATATATTACATATATTACATATATTACATATATTACATATATTACATATATTACATATATTACATATATTACATATATTACATATATTACATATATTACATATATTACATACAGTGTTCGAAATACCTGTCTGCAGTCTGCAATCTGCAGATAGATTTTCAAGATTGCAGAAGAAAAATTTATACAATCTGCAATTTTGCAGAAGGAAAAATAGGCTCCAGATTCAATAGTTTTCAATTTAGCAAACTAGAACTCTCTGGCCCCAAGGACAGACAACACTTAAGCTCCTGTTTTGAAGCAACAGGAGCTTCTTCACTAATTTGCATCATCCTTGTCTTGACTTGTCTATCTTTTGTTTCCCTTTGGACTTCCAAAAATTTGCATATGAATCAATAGTTTGTGCTTATAAACCTGCAATTCTCTAAAGTGTCACTGATGAAAGGTAGTAGTCTGACCCTTTCAGGTAGCACCAAAATCATATCGAGTTGCTTAGCTCGAGTTGAGTAGTTTTTTGGTGTGTTTTTACCTTCGCCAAGAAGGTTATGTTTTCAGTAGCGTTTGTCCGTCTGTCTGTCTGTCTGTCTGTCTGTGAACAGCATAACTCAAGAAGCTTAGTATGCATTGTCATGAAACTTGGTAGGTGGGTAGGTCTTGATAAGACCTAGAAATGATTAGATTTTGGGCCCCCTGGCGGCTTTTGTTGGTACTGCAGCACTTCCGGTTTTGATATCTCGCAATCTGGATATGTCAGGGTCACGAATTTTGGTTGGTAGATAGCTCTTGAGGTAGGGAAGAAGTGACATAAGTTTGGCCCCCCTAGCGCCTTGTTCTGGAACTGCAGGAGCATTTGTTGAAAAATTTTTGAAGGATGATAACTCAAGAACCGGTGGACGGATTGTCATGATTTTTGGTATGTAGGTAGCTGAAGTGATGCTTGACACAATCAAATGATAATTATGCAAATCAGGAGCTAATTTGCATAATTAATAAGTAAATTCTATAAATCTGCTTCGTTCGATAATAGGACTATGAAACACGTGTGACATGTAATAGAGAACGAAAAAAACATCTGAGGATATAGATTATGTAAATGAAGACCTAATTTCCATAATTAATGGGAATATTTTATAATTTCATAGTTGTAACTTCTGGGAATTTCATACTTGCCACATTTGGAAGTTAAGTGAAGGCAAACATCAATAAACATAATTTATTCAAATCATGACCTCATTTGCATAATTTATGAGAAAGTGCTATAATAGCCGTTTTGTGAAGATAAGGTTGTCATTGGGTGGAAAATATGATCAACTGATATAATCCATGCAAATGAGGCTCTTATTTTCAAAATCAATGATTAAAATTGTATGATTCTTCAACCGCAAGGGTTAACATCATTTGGCGAAGGTATGAGGTCGTGGAACTCTTGTTTATTAGTAATACATGTTGTGTGGATGTATTATATGTGGGTGTGATTACTACTACTAGTACATTTACAGGTAAGGTATGATTTTAGTTGTAGTAGCTTGTAGTGGTAGACAGCGGTGAAAGACCCGTGAAGATACCAGTAAATGATAAATTTTCTGTGGAGAAGGATCTATAAAGTCTGAAATGAAAAAATTCCAGTAATGCTACAGATTTACAAAGCTATATATGATGTAAAAAAGACATAATGGTTTGAGAAGATTGTAGTATGGAGGCTTGTGTATTTGCAGAAAGTATTTTCAAATTGCAGAACAAAATTTTGACTCTTCTGCAATATTGCAGAGCACTGAAAAAAAGTATTTCGACCACTGACATATATTACATATATTACATATATTACATATATTACATATATTACATATATTACATATATTACATATATTACATATATTACATATATTACATATATTACATATATTACATATATTACATATATTACATATATTACATATATTACTGACGTCCTACCTGGCCGTAGATGCTACTCTACTCTACTCATTAAAAAAAACTGCTTCATTTGATAATCTTTGTGAGAACTCATCCTATTCTCAGTGAGTATTCACCATTTTTTGGAAGAGACTGAGCGAAAACATGAAGAGGCAGTGGAAATCAGATTCAGAACATTTTTTTTTATGCTTCCCTCCTTCGGAACATTTTTTTATTATACCATACATGTACCATACTAGATGAGGGCACCAGGTCCTGAAATGTCTAAAATAATTTGCAAATTCATACTCATATTGGCAGGTTTGATAAGATCTCTGATTTATGTTTGAAAAGAGGTGAAGTGTAAAGTCTTAAAAAAGCTAGAGATGGATTTGTATATACATTGATTTGTATAAAGGTGGAAAGTCAATAGATTTTCATGTTGATGTTGTCCAAACAATTTTATTGCAGCATCTCCAAATGGACCTGGCTCAGTTGGACCAAATGCAGAATATGTCATCAAAATTGTAAGTACTCTTTACATCCAAATCTAATGTATTTAAGTCTTGCAAAGGGTAGTGTAGGAAGTCAACTACCCCATTGAACTTGTTTGCAGCTTTCTATGGATATGTACAATAAACCTGGTTATTACATGAATATTGAAGTTTCTCAACATTGTATTCAGAATCAGAGCCCTAGACCATGTTATGATAAGGCCTTTCAATTTCATGCTTCAGACATCATATCAATAATACAATGGATATTTCTACAGGAACCACATGACAATGGGCCCCTGTTCTCAGAAATTAACTTCTACCTGAGGACTGCAAAGCAAGACATGAGTAAGTATGTGAGGAAAATGTGGGTAAAACATACACATTTGCACATTGCCTTCATCTTAATGAAAGTATTTATAGAGGTGGTTTCAGTGCTTGTCAGTGTTTCTTATCGTCTTCTTTCACCTCAATCAGTGTAATGTTAATATATATACTATAATGAACCAATTTATTGAAGCTACGTAGTATTTTTTAAAATCAATTGTTGAACTTCATATACAGTTCAAACTCTACTTCTGGTACTTGTCCAGTAATAACGTTGATTGTCTATGAGTATTATTTACCTGTGTGTCTACCGGTGCAATAGCTCAATTGGTAGAGTGCTCGCTTTGTAACCGGGAGGTCGTGAGTTCAAACCCCGGCCGGGTCATACCAAAGACTTTAAAAATGGTACACACTTCTTTCTCTGCTTAGCACTCAGCACATATGAGAAAGAGTGTGGGGAGGTCAAACACACAGCACTACCAGCGGACTAGCCCCCTGTTGTAGTGCATTGCACAATTGTGTGTCGCCCAAGGGCTACGAAATGGAGATGGGCACCACCCTACGCTCGGGCAAGAGCACGGGAGACCTTCTTCTAACCCTCACTAATGTACATGTATTCCTTCCTTTGTCTGTGCTGCTCAGTCACAGATTGGATGAAAGCGAAGAAGCTGAAACACCTGGGTGTGCCTAAGTACATTGGATCAGGTTCTCACGAGGGGAAGAGCCGGCTCAGGTTTTTGTTGTTGTTGTTATTTTCACATTCTATGTCCATACACATACACAGCACTTTATTCACAATATTTCTTTGCATTTCGTTATGAGCATTGAAATCTAAACAATGCGACTATACCAGTGCAGTAAGGAGGTTCACAAATAATAGTGCCCATGCCCAATTTCAAAGGTAAAGGCCTGAAAGTAAACACGTGAGACCGTGCTTTATATGTGTTTGGTTACATCTTGGGTGCATTCACCTTTGACATGTAATCAACATTAATGCATCATTACTGCTCACGCGCAGTCTTGTTTGTGAACCAACTTCTTTGCTTCATATTTATATACTTTAAACAACCCAGGTTCATGGTGATGGAGAGGTTTGGGGAGAACCTGCAGAAGGTGTTTGAGTCGTCAGGAAAAGCCTTCAGCCGGAGAGACGTGGACATGTTAGCTGTACGACTGGTGAGGCAGCTACTGATATTGCTATCTGGCAGCAACTGGTAGACTAGTCAACAAAGACTTGATCAGAATGTGTCTCCAATTTACAAATCCTAAATTTAAGTCAATCCATTGATCTGAAGTGACCTTAGATTGAAGTTGACAAATTCTGACTGTCTTTCCAGCAAATGTCTTTAAATTTACAGACTCTGGTCTGGATCTCTACCGTTAGAATCACTGATTATACCAGGTGGAAGTTTCTACCCAGATGTATGTGTGTATCTATACAGACAGACAGAGTTCAAATCGTAGAACTAAGATTGAATATGTCAAAACCTTGTCTGTGTTGGTCTTCTCTATTTGACAGCTAACAACACTATTTCCTGACCTGCAGTTGTTTACATACAGACACAGACAGATACTCAGACACACAAACTGAGTTCAAACACAGAATTAACGTTGAATCTGATTGTTTCCTGCCCTGCAGTTGTACACCCTGGAGTACTTACACGACCACCAGTTTGTCCATGCAGACATCAAGGGATCAAACCTGTTACTGGGCTTCACCAAAGGGACACAAGATCAGGTAAGAAGGAACAACTTGGTCATCAGTCGCATAGCTCTTCTGTTGTAGGGGTAACACAATTTCAAAAAAGGTCTTCTACCTCTAAACAACATGGTTATGTTCAATTTTTTAGTATTATTGCACCAGATTCCTCATGGTCTATAATACTGAAAACTACCTTGAGTTGTAATGGTTAAGTAGCATTCCACAGAAATGAGTCCTGTATTTTCACCAGAAACCTTAAAATGCACCTCCTCTAAGTGAGTTAGGAAGGAAAGTACGCCATGAGAGACTTTTAACTGTTCTCAAAATCCAAAGAATTACTCAGCAAAATTTTCAACGGAGTAACTCAGTTGTCTTCAACTTTCTGACCCACCAACTGCTATGAATTTGTTCACATGTGATTTCAGCTTTGGGTCAGAGTTTGTCAGGAGTTGAGGATGGAATAATGAAGGTCTAAACCTTAATTTTTTTACCCGCAGGTATACCTTGTTGACTATGGGCTGGCGTATCGGTACCTACCAGACAGTGGGCACAGGGATTATAAGGAAGACCCACGGAAGGCACACGACGGGACTCCAGAGTTTACCAGCTCTGATGCACACAAGGGTGTCCGTAAGTAGATACATGTGACTGTGTATTTGGCAAAATTTATTGTAACATTGCAGATCAAGTTACAGCTTATATACAGAAGAACTTTATTGCATGACAATTGCACATGGTACAATGTATGGCAAACTACATAAAGAGAGTAGCAAACAATAAAATTTGTTGAACAAGACCTAATGTCGAATAAACCTAAAACAAATCTATATCATAATCATTCAAATAATAAGGGATAGCAGAAGTCATTGATAAAGTGTAACAATCGAGTGGGCTAATCACAAGTTTCAGAATTTATATATTGTCATAACAGGTGGCAAGTAGCCAAGTGGTTAGTGTTGTTGACTGTCAAGAAAACTGAATCCAAAGGTTCTGGGTTCGAATCCTTGCAGGCCCCTTTAATTTGTTGTGTCCTTGGGAAAGGCACTCTACCTAGGTGTGTTTCCTCACGTCACTGAGGTGACAAAATGAGTACCTAGCCTAGGGAGGTCTTCTCGGTCAGGATGTAAAGCAGGAGGTCCCATGTTTGTGGAAGGCCACACGTTGAGCACATTAAAGATCCTACCGCACTTGGTGTTAGTGGTTGAAAATGGTGTTGATTACTGTTAGTGGTTGAAACCAGTGTACAAAATACTTTTTTGAACCAACAAGACTGGCAATGAAAACCGTTAGGGTTATTGTTTGCATGGTACTGCCATCATTTCATGATTTTGAGGAAGACTTGGTTCCTGTTAAGTCTAGACAGATACAGTACACTCCTCCCCTGAGTGTATAGTGAACGAGCCCCGGGGTCACAGAAAGTAGGGCCATCTGGGGCAGACAGGTCTTCAGGGTTCCAGGAATTTGGGCATAGATGTGGGTCAGAGAAATGCCTGTGGACATTCCGCATGCCTGTGGACAAAATGCCTGTACAATTCCTAGAATTCTTTAGAATTGCACACAATACTGTACCATTAGGCTCCTCCCTGAGATGTCGCCAAAAATTAGGTTGCCCATCAGAATTTTAGGTTACCCCACCTGTAAGTTACTACTTTCCTCAAATTATTATATTGTTACATACATTGTTGAAACCTTTGACAATATTCCTAACAGCCTTTAGTTCACTGATACTACAATGTAGTAATTAGCCATTAATACCTAAAATTAAAAAGCATCTGCCGGATACAGTGGTGCAAGCCAAGTGGGCATGATTGGGGGTGGGGGGGGGGGCGATTCTTAAAATTCAGGTAGCACACTGGGCTACCTAGGTTCAAAAATAGGTTGCCCCAAGTAAAAGTTGGTTGCTCGGGGCAACTGGGCAACCAGGTATTTTGCACGCTGTAAAAACCCTACAGTCTAGTCTGTCATCTTGAAAAGGTGAAAGTCATTTGCAGCTCAAATGTGGTAAATCTTGGCAGTGTTCTCACCAGGTTCTTTCACAGCAGGGCAACTTTTGTAGTGCAAGTCACATATTGAGCCTAAAAATTTTGAAACTCATAAACCCCTGAGACACTTATTTCTCACTTATTGGGGGACAGATTTTGTAAAGTTAAGGTTTTCCCTTTGCTATAGCTTCAATCTAAAGTTATATTTTCATTTTGTGCAAGATTTATGAAGGCTCCCCCCCAAAAAATCACAGCATAGGGGGTCCAAATCACAGCATAGGAAGCCCCTATGCTCAAAATGCCTGGCGAGAACACTGCTTGGTGTCCTACACATTAACTTGATGGTTCTTTCCTGCTGGCAGCTGCGGCCAGAAGAGGAGACATAGAGATCCTGGGCTACGTGCTGCTGCAGTGGCTGTGTGGACAGCTGCCCTGGGAGGATAACCTCGCCAACTGTGACTACCTCAGGGACCAGAAGATCAAGTAAGAAACAACTTGCAGTTACTCAAGCAACTGGATATGATTTTGAAAACGTCAGATGTTTCAGCTAGTATCCACTAGCTTTCGTCAGTGACTGAGATACCAGAGGGGAAATGCAG